GACCAATTGATCAATGCAAATATTTTAGGCATAATAATTGCGTAATATATAATTCATACGCAGACAAGTTAAAAATATTAAACCAAAATTCATCATTTGGAAGTATTACAGAGGCTTGGATTCGTCTCGGTTTATAACTTATCCGATATGAGAGATTATTCTGTATGCAGGAGTTTTTATAGAATATTTAAAAAAAAAATTATATTGATCGGTTTAAATACTTATATTATTGATTTATTCGAGTAACTCGAAAATGCTGTTCGAAATAAGCCATTTTTGTGGTAAACACAAATTTAGAGGAATTCTTTAAGTATAATATATATTTTTATAAACATTACTCTCCTCTGCATGATTCAGTACATTTAAAATAATTAAATACAGTAACTTGTGGAAAAAAATCGTTTTCTCTTCATTTTAACTCAAATCTATATATCCGTACTAAATTTAAGTTTCATAATACTTGTATTTCTTTATAATGTTATTGAAATATGTTGAAAACATTTATACATTTGATTTCTTGTCAAAATACGATTTTAAATTACCTCCTTTGACAACATATCCATACAATCGTAAAGTTAAAATATATTTTTTTTAGTTGTCCATATAATTCGTCATTGATCATTTTTGGTATATATGTTTAAAAACAAATATTTTTATACAAAAGTAGAACGTTTACAAGTTAAAATAAAATGACAAATGTAAAAATAGATCCATTTTGTTGTATTAATGTATAACATGTTAACAAATTTTAGCTCAATGTTAAGTTTTAGTGAAAAATTGCCTATACAATGCGCCTTAATAAATGCCCTTCTATCATAATCACGAGGCTGAATCACTCTGTATTCGGCGGCTTCATATATTATGCTAGTCTGGTCTTAAGGCCCGAAAATATTATGCTATATTCGTATGTACAGTGCTTACAGCCTAAATAACGATGGAACATTTCGACTAGAGACCTGACGTCGTAGAAAACGTTATTATTATTGCTATTGTTTTTTTTTTACAGCCCAACATTTCGTCTTAGCACCTTAACTTGGCCAAATCCTCTCTCGATGCCAGTGTAAAGTAAACGGACAAACATTAGTACCCAAATAGACGTCATCCAGTTCTGCATAAACATAACGATTATCTAATCTTATCACGTATTCACCTTTTTTTTTCTTCATTACGTTCTTTTTCTCGCCAAAATCCATAATGACTTTGTGCGGGCGCAATGTACCCGGACACGCCTTGTCACGGTTTAAGTTCAAAGCCCTCGGTTAATTTTTTTTTAGGCTCGTTATGGCACCTCAAATACAACCCGGCATTATAAAATCATTAAATATAAACAAAAGATTTAAACTTTCATTGTGTGTTGGCCAAAAGCTAAGCAAAAGTTTCCAAAACATGACCCGGTCGTCTGACACTATAAAGTTAGAAAAAAAATTACCTTATTACACAATGTTACTGTACAAATTAATAAATCACACAAAATATGCTCGTCCTGTAAAAACATTAATGTTGGTATACAAAATAACATGACAGCGGGAATTGGAAAAAATAGTTAAATAAAATCATAAATTATAGAAAATGTATTATCTATGAAAAACATTGTTCATAACTTAATAAATAAAAAAAGAACAGTAGTTTATACATTATTGTATACTGATAAAGTCAATTTGGATAGTTTCAGATGTGATAATATCATTCAATTTACAACCAAAATGCAAATCAATAGTAGAACAATCGAGTGAAACTATAAAATATATGACTTATTAGTCAAAAGGAAATGAGTCGTCTTGATAGAAAAGTTAATCTGGAAATTGTACAAGTCGTTTGGTGAAAATCCATAATATTCGAATACCATTAAAAAAATGTGTGAACATTTTTTAAATTTATTATAATTTAGGAAATATAAATGAAACGTTTGTATTTTTATCAATTAATTTCTAGTAAAACCCGATCGTTTTGCCGAACTTGAGGTTTTACACTAGAAAACTGGAACGACATCAACTAGGTGTATTATTATGTCATCACTCGTCATATTTTAACTAGCCATCACACAGTTTTGGATAGTTACTTTTAAAGTTATTTAAGTTTAAAAATCCTAATCATATATTTTAACAAATAAATAGTTAAAAAAACTGGTTATCGACCAGTCAACATACTCAACAAATTATTCTTAATTTAAAAATATAAATAAATACATACATACGTTACCATAAGTTTTAAAAGTATACAAATTTCAATATTGCCTAATATTGTGAAATAATACAAACAACATGCTTGTAAAAAGGAAAATTGCAACTGTTTTAATAGAAAACGAGTGCTTATCCTTAAAAAAACCACTGTATAGACACAACTGTCGGTAAAAATGGCAATAGACTTTTTAGGGTGAACTCTATAATTAAAAATTATGTTGTACATTTGTTAGCAACCTATGAAACTGTTAAACGCCAACATGATTTATCGAGAATACGTGATTTGTCAAACGTGCAAACGTCTGCCTGGTTATTGCGAATACCGACCGTCTAAATTAGACCTAAACGCCAACGGCCGACTTATCCATATTATCTCCATCGACCCCGGACGCAGTAAATTAGTTAAGTATAACAAGATACCTACAGAACGAGTGGTCTGGGAGACTAGACTAGCCCATTTATATTCACAAACCTGCGCAGTACCTTTATGGTCGCCCAACGTTTTTTTGTGCACGCTAATGCAAACGGTAAAATAATACAAGTAGAATTGTGCTTTGAATAAACAACGCGCAGATAAAAGTCGTTTTACGGTTTACCGAAACCTGTGAAATTCGTGTCCGAGTGATGATCATTATTTTTGACATATCTCGAAAATTGTACATTTTTAAGGTGTATATTTCCCCTTCTCGTTACTTATAAAGTGCAATTATAAATGATTTATGTTCGCTAAAACTGATAATTACTAATTATGAGCATTAACACTTATGTTACTTATAAAAGTTCTAACTACAAATTTAATTGTGAATACTATAAAATAATAGTTATTACACGAATAAAAATGAACAACCAAATCGTTCCATGCGAAACAAACACGACAACTTTAGATATTTTTTTATCAACACAAAAAAAATATTATCTGCGCAAATTTAGCCGGCTAAGTACATAATTTTCAGTGTACGCATAATTATTTAATTTTTTAACTGAGGCGGCGGCACGACCCGTAAAACTTGAAAAATAGAGATTAAAATATTCGAATGCCGCAATGGCATATTTTTCCACTAGACTTTGAGAAATGTTTATTGGATCAAGGACAGTGTAAACAACAAACTTTAAAGTGATATTATTCTTTGTTGGTGACGCCACTGTTACGCTTGTCGCCTCAATTGATGAATAACAGTAAAAAAACATTTTCACATTTTTAATTATAACTTTGGAGCGCTTTGAGATAAAACTTTTTAATTTAATTAAAACATCAGAAATTACATAAATTAAGTATTCCATGTGGGGAATTGCGAACGCTTCGAATACAGTTTTACCAATAGGGCAGCTCGTCTAACGCAGTGATTTAGGGTGTATTTAGGTCAACAAAATCGGTCAATAATAACCATTCATATTATACTGTAAGAACAAAGGTAAAAAACAATCAACCAATAGCAATTACTTCACACTCCTGGCTTGTTCCAACGTCTGACTCATTTTAAGCCCAAGATAATCACAGCTTCCGTGAAAATTCTCACTCTCCTGGAATTAGGCTTATGGATCTATCGAGTAAACTAAAAACAAAACCCTTTCTACGGAGAACTATTTTTTATTTTGATCGTTGAAGTGATTAGAGTAAACAAATAGAGTAAAACGTTTAAGCAAATCAATTACCTAAATGGGTAAAAAAAAAGTATTTAATAAATATTTTGGTATAAGCGGGTAAATAATCAAGTAAAAGAGTACAATATACATATATTGAACGTGTAAAAGATTAAACAAATCGAGATAACGGATAAATAAAACCGTTAATAAATGGGTAAATATATCGAGTAAACGAGTAAAGAAATCGATAAAAGTATAAAAATAAATTAATCATAAGACAATGTTAAACTGGAAAATATTTGTCCCTATGCCCGGCTATAAAACTATTAATGTTCAAATATTCTTTTCTCGAATAATTTTTTCATCAACGGTTTATTCCCGTTTTTCTTCATTGGCAAGATAAATTGCAATATAGTATAAGTAATAATTGCATTATAGCCCATATTAATATCACTATTAGTTCGAGTAGATTAAAAACCGATTTAAGTTTTTTAGAAATCCTGCAAATAGCACAACTTACGTTAAATAAAACGATTTATTTTTATTTTTATTAATGATTGAAAATTCTTAACTGGCCGTGTATGGAAACCGTTAGTCATCGATCCGACTGACAATTTATAATGACTGTCATTCAAGATTGATCATGTATGGTTGGCTCAATTGAGCTTCTAAGGTCCTGGGTAATAATACTATTATACAATTTTTACCACCGTAATTGGACTGCCCTCGGATTTTGCACGTTATGTATCTTATCTTGTTTGTTAGTTGTAGCAAAACAAAACAAGAGAATTCCCGTAAAATATTTTATACCTATGTCACTTTCAACGCAATTTAAAGTAAGACATTCATGTTATCGGAAAACAATTACAACTTGAAGTTTTTCTTTTTAGAAAATATTGATAATTGATAATTGAAATTCAATAAAATAACGCGACATTTTTTCCAGTCCTTAAGTAATTGGCCGAGTACTGAATTTAATCCTTTCCTATGTGTTTTTTGTAGAATAACCAAAATACAATACAATAGTTAAGAGAAAACAGAATCTTGTTAAACAATCCAATTTAATATTGCCCGGTATTCGTGCTACAGACGAGCACGGCGAATGAATGTTAATCAGACGGGTTTAATTAACGGCGAATTCAACCGAGCAAGAATATTATATTAATGTCTTATTTGTAATATAATTATTGTCTATGGGCGTCACTAATCATTGCTCGTTGTTTGTGTGTGTTGCAGCTATACTGGACTCGCTGTGCAAGGATTTCCTTACCATGAACGTGTCGGCGATTCTGTACTTGATGAATTACGAAAAATACGGAAGGAGCACGGCGTCGGCTCAATACTTCTTGCAGCTGGCCGGCTATCTGGGAATACCGGTGATAGCTTGGAACGCCGACAATTCAGGACTGGAACGGGTAATTACATTAGGACGTACACAATAAGCAGACCGAACCCCCGCGTTTTGAATAGTATAGTAATTTACAGTACAAAAATTTAAAAAACCAGAAAGGAGAGAGAGAGAGAAAAATGTACATGCGTCGAGTACCCGCGAATAAACTTCATTTAGAGTTTTGTAAAACTGGTGGAACTGGTGGTAAAACTGGTAGGCCTTTCAGGAGACATTCTTACTTATTTTCATTTCCGGTGGCTAACGTTTATCGTACACGCGCGTCTTGTACCATATCCATTGAAAAACAACCATTTGGCGGGCATCTTCATCGAATCCGGGAACAAAAAAAATCTGCAATCTGTGTAACATGTCGATATCTTATTAAATGAAAACAATATATCATAATATCCAGAAAAAACTTAAGTACTAGTTATTGTGGTTATAATATTATATAGCGAAAAGATATGATGTCGCCCTAATCCAATATAGCGTTATAATATTTCCCAGTATTTAAAAAATACCGAAAAAACATGTTTCACCCCTAAATAGTTACACCATTAGACCGTCATAAATGGGTTCAAATATTTACTTTTATTTTAAAAACTATTATTTAAAAACTTCTAAAGCGGCGTAGCTGTAGCTGTAGTAAGTACTAAGTAAATAAGTAGCTGTCGGGTAGAATTTCTTATCTAAAGAGTTACTCTACGAAGAAATCAGCTCAACGATTTAAGGATATTGTGGGTCCACAAAATATATATATTTATATATATAAATAAAAACATAATATTGTATAAAAACAATACCTTCTCAGCTAAAAGGCACATGTTTGAAATAACTAGAGTGAAAGACAACTGAAAAAGAAACATTTTTAGCAATAATATATTGTCAATATTATTCGAACAACTAAACAAATACAATATTGATTATTACAATACCATTAACATAGTATAATAACATGAACCTAGACCATAATGATTTGTACAAATAAACTTTCTATGATTTCACAAATACAGGTACTTTCCTTAACATTTTATATAATTACTAGCTTATAATATTAATTATATTTTAACAGGACATGGACCTGTATAACTTAAAAAATGATTCTACTCGTGGTCTCTCCCAGTATTCTGTTTTAATAGCTTTCGTCCATTATCGTATAATGTGATTAGGACATTCGATAGAGTGGTTAGTAAGTCCTTTCTGAACATAATGGCTCAATATAATAAAACAAAAGTGGGTGTATATTATGTATGTTGGTGGTAATCTATTACGAATATTCATATTTTTTTACCATATTCGTTCGAAATCGATTTCATTTTAGACCGAGCAAGGTGGTATGAAACGTGCGGTACGGTTAGGTTAGGATGCTGAGAATCCCGTTTGGAATTTTCGAATTAAACCTCTGCAAACGTTGGTAGTCTCGGAATTAATAACTATACCTACGTCCCGAGGCCCGTCTTAATGTACACGGATCACATTTTCCATCGAAAACGGAGTTGTCTTAGCAAGTGTGGATTACAACGTGATTATCAAAACCGTGTACTGGTGGGAACATTGAGTTTAATCGTGTTAAGCGTGTACCATATTAATACATTGCGATCAAGTACACACGTGACAAAACAAAAATGGAAATAACGGTGTGTTTATTAAAACATCAAACATTTTCTCCGTTTCTCGGAAATACATTGGGCTATATAATATAACATAAATCAATTTTTTTGTTTAAAAAACGGTGTTATTTTTCGTCACATTTAATAAGCACAAATGCATAAATCTTTATTATAATGTATATTTATGTAACGCCAATTTCGAAATAATTGAATACGAGTACACTAGCCGTTTTCTTCTAGAAGAAAGCGTTTAAAACCTTATTATTATTGTTGTTATTTTATAAGTCGAAGAGTTAAACCAATATGGATGAAAATGAAAATCATCCAACCCAACTTTTGGTAATCGCCATAAATGTTTAATACCATTTTAAAAGATATAACTTTTTCGGTTAATTTTACCCAGTCTGTCAAATAACCTAACTATTATATAACAGATCAATGACTATGTTATAAAAAAAGTGTTTGTATTTAGCCTTTATAAAATGTCAGCCAACTTGTAACTTTTCAGTCAAAAACTTTTAATAACAATAATAATAATAATTCACGAAAGATATCGCAAAAAAAAAGTATTAAAAGATTTGATCAAAGCTTTAATAACTCAAAGTCAAAATATATTTTCTATCTTTTAATCATCGAATTCGGTGTTATATTTAAACCGATCGAGCAATCGTACATCAGTTAATTTCTGTACTTCGGAATTTATTAGATTACTTTTATCCATCAAAACAAAATTTATTTTTTGAAAATACGGTCAAAGAGTTAAAGTTTAGTAGAATTTTAAGATTTTCCTACTTTCTTTTAAAGAATTATTGTATTATTTATAAATTATTTTACGAACAATAATTTCCACTCTTTTTTAGTAAAACTATGATCTTGTTGTACTAAAAAATTGTTTTTGAAAACTACTACATAAACCTTGTACATCATAATAAGGCGATAAAAATCAAGCACAGTAAAAAACTAACAAACAATTTTAAAGTTAACTATCAAACAAATTTTTGCATCTAAGCTAAAAAAATCGTTATAACCATTACAACCTGTGTTGTACATTATTCAGTTAATTTAAACAAAGCGACAATTACTAAAACTATCTTTTATTTATCATTTATTTTTCACTTATTTAAGACAAAATCGCTTTTTATTCATTTTATCAACACAATTTACAACTCCAAACTAAGATTTTGATATCGTTATTTCAATATAAATTGACGTTTTTTATGCAGTTTTACGGTCCAATCATTTTTGTTTACATTATTTTAATCAGCTAATGTTAAAAACGCGCATCACTCAAACGTGTAATTAATCTAGTATCATGTACATAGAGAAATGCTCCGGTATGTTGAAAATAATAATAATAATAGACTATTAACGGTTTCGAAAATTTACACCGCTTAGCAAACCATCTCCTGAATAATATCGCCCTTTAATTTGAATCGTGATGAAGCGTATAAAATACCGTAGCGTTTGTGCATAATAAGTAATCACGGAACAGACAACAAGTGCTTTAATGAAGTTTAACATTTCCACTATCTACTTTATCATGAATAGTTGTAAAATTTACTTTGTGAATTATTAATATCCATCACAAAAAAAATAAACACAAGTGAAATTGAGTAAACAAGAAACAATGTATTTTATACGATACATTATGATACAATTTAGTTATACAAGGCAGTAATAAAAGTTTTATCGTTTTTCTTTTAAAAAACATTTTTATTTATGTTATTTTACAATGTTATAAAAATTACCAAATATTTACCATTTATAGTATTTTCCAGATAGCACTATCAACTTTTGAAACTTAATGGGAAAATTAAATTAAGTTTTGAAGTTAAGAATAATTTTTTCTGAAATTGTTGACTGGGCGATAATCAGTTTTAGAAAATGGCATTAAAAGTTAAAAGTTTAAAATTTAAGACGGGGTGTCGAGTGTCGTTGAGTAATGATAATATACCGATATTGTTTGGGCATTTTATGAGGAGAGAGGAATCGGAAGCAGCAAGAAAGGTAAAGACAATGAAGTAGGAGGTAAGAGGAAGATCGAAAAACTGCTGACAAAAATCGATTTTTGATCTGATTGTAATTTTAGTGAATTTATCTTTTTCGTTTGATACAAAATAAACAGAAAAGCTCATAATCTATGAACGCAGTTGTATTCACAGTGTATTGTAACCAATGCACCTATTATAATAACGGCGTGTTCATTTGATTTTTTTCTATTAACACAGTAAAGAGAGACTTTTGTCAAATGCGATTTAATTAAAATTTAATTAAAATTACGGCGTAGGATACTCATTGTATACTGCGTCAAATACTAAGTGATATGGGTATTTCCCCGTATTATATATATATATTATAATTGATACGCATGTGCATCTGACAGTTAATAATAGTATAAACTGCTTGCAGCAATTATAGTGTTTTCATTTTATGTATTGTTTCAAACTGTCACTGGCCGATACGATTTCCCCTTGATTCAGACTCTAGTCTTTATTAATTATATGCACACAAACGTTTACCACCAAATCACCTGAATCACAATAGTATAATGATTATTACTACAGTTAGTAGTATCAACATTATTTATTTGTATAATTATGAAAAAATGTTTTATTTTATTATTATCATTAATCGTGTTCACGAGTATAAACTATTAGCAAATTATACACAATATGAAAGAAAGTGTTAAATGAAAATTCTCGCTAAAAATTACTGTCGATGAGAGAGAATTTTAAGTGATTTACATCCGGTTATTGCAATTCCTAGAGGACCCGTCTCCTCTATGTCGCGACTAAAAATGTATGTTAAATACAAATTAATAAAACTCGGATTAAGGCGAAAATAAAATGTTACGTAGTACGCTAATAAAAATGGAAACGGATAGTAATGTTGCTTTGTGATTTCAGAGAGCCTCGAGATCAAGTCTGCAGCTCCAGCTGGCCCCATCGTTGGAACATCAAACGGCAGCCATGTTGAGTATATTGGAGAGATATAAGTGGCACCAGTTCTCTGTTGTGACGTCTCAAATTGCGGGACACGACGATTTCATTCAGGCAGTCAGAGAACGAGTGGCCGACATGCAAGACAGATTCAAGTGAGTTCACACAAACAGCTCTTTACACCGCGTGAAAACCACAAAAAAAATCATAATAGTGTTTTTTTTTAATAATATTTTCGTGTAAATAGATAAATAATAACACTTGTTGAGTTACCAACATTTTCGTAACGCTTTTCAATAAGATCAAAACCCGTCCCGTATCCTTTTATTTATCCAATAATAATATAACACGAGTACTCTAAAATTCGAATTTTCTTAGTAAATGCTTTAAGCAATTGCTTTAAAATTGTCAACAAGTACAAAATAGAATGTCATATGTGCGTTCAAAATCACATGTAATTTGTATCAAAACGAGCATCGCATAGCTAGTTTTGGAAATACTATAAAATGCATCGAAATCCCATCCCTAAACACTATTTATAAATGTTTCCCTCGAAGAGTTGAAAATTTCTTCCACTCTTTTCATCTCTTTTTGTATTATTCTTATTTTCTTCAACTTCGTCTCGGTCACGATACTACCAAAATTCTCTGTTTCCTCACAGTGTAATTGATTAGCTCTCATTTAGCATCATCAAAACCCTATTAAATTTCTAGCACGCGAACATTATATCGTAGTCTTGCTTCCGGCAACTACCACGCTTCTTCTGTCCATACAGATTCATCGCGATTTTGTCAGAAAACTAACCATTGTATTTATCGTTGGGTCGGTGAATTGCTGACAAGGCCAAGGGCCACCAACCATACTATGTGTTTTTATTTTACCACACCTAGAAACTCTAAGGGGAGCTAATTTATATAATTTAATGTAATATTAACTGTACAGAAGCCTCGAGAACCTAAACGATAAAGCTTCTTTCTTTGTATGAGGAGCACGCACAAAACAGCCATAAAACTTATTATTGTATAAATCCAAAATGATCTCCTTTTTCAAAACACATTCCCACATCAATGTCTCCGAATAAATCATAATATTATCTTTATACTTTGATGCTCGAGACGTCAAAACCATCATATTTTATAAAGGTACCTGAAAAAACCCGATAATTTTTTTTTTGACAATAATAGCTCACACCTTGAATGGGTTTTCGTAAACTTACTAAATCATAAAGAAGTTTTATTATTAATGCATTTTTCGTGGGAGAAAACTGCCACAGTAAATTAATTATGTACCTCATACCTAGAAACGTAATAGGCGATAGAATTTAAACGTGATAGACGACCGGTTACTATATTATTTTGTATACCACTCAATGATTCTTGAAACAATTATTTTAACTTCCATGAGGAGCATTTCTTACAACAAAGCGTTTTTTTTGTGTCTGAACCCAAGATAACTATTGTAAGCTGCTGAGCCGATGTCTTCGTGTAGCAAAATATACTATTTTCCAAAAAATAGTTTCCGTATGTTGTTATTTACGATGTATGGGAAATAAATGCAACGAATTATACCACATGATTTACCCTAATTGTATTTTCCGTGTAATTAGATACAAAATATGTTTTATGTGATGATCACAATGTTGAATTATTCTAAAATATGTTATACATTTTTGTTGAAATCCTAAAATCGAATATTTCATAATAATGACGATACATAGTTTATAATAATATTCACCGTATTAAAAAGATTTGATAATAGTATTATTATATTATACAGACGACGAAAACTCAAAATTACAAATAAAAATAAAATAAATTACGGTTCAACAAAGACCCTTACCTCTGTAATGGCGAAAGGGATGTAGGTATGTAAAATGTAGTTTTGGGTATAAAAGAAAAATACAGTTATGCCGAGGATTATTTTTTAGGGTAAAAAAAAAAACAACGACATTGTAACTTTTCCAATTAATAATGATGAAAGTATAGTGTTTTTTTTTTCAATACCATTATCAATAACAGCTGTGCGTTCTACCGTATATCTGTTTAAAATTATATAATAACGATTTTTTTTTAAGGAGCCGAAATTGTTTTATAAAAATTAAAATATAAGTTAACAAGTACTTTAGCGATCTATTCTAATTGAATATGAAAACGACATAAGTCGTACAACTTAAATTATACAATAACCATTAATAACTAACTCTAGAAACTAAACTTATTTTGCACTTGGAATGGTGGAATGGTATATTAAAAATAGGTATTGTTCTCATAGTTCATAGTTTAAAATTTCATTGAACTATATAAATCTTATTTCACTCGAGTTGTCAGCCCTCCTTTTTCACGTGTTAATATAAAAATTCTGAATTTGAAAACTTATAAAGTAAGTTTAAAAACTAAATATTGTAAATTTTGTTTTGAATGGTCTTTATTTGTATACGTTAGTAGAGATGTTCAAAAAACAAAATCCCCATCCGAACAATTCGAAAAAAAAATCTATTTTTAATAGCTTTTTTTCTGTAGATTTAGAGCCTGGAGTTCTGAAATAAATAAATTCTGAACTCGAGTAGATTGATTAATAGTCTCTTGAAACGTACAGACTTAATTTCCAATTCAAATCGTGCTTTTTACATAGGTCGGTACTTTTATATTTGCATTGCATCGAAATTCATCCAATTCTTTTGGGAGAGATAAAAATATCACACACATGCAAACAAAATCTTCAAAAGAATAGTGCCAAGTTTTAGTTAAAGATTAAGTCGAACAAAACTTTCATGATAAGCTAAAAAGCTAAAAAAAAATCCAACGCAGTCAAATGGAACAAAAATTTGGGGGAGGGGCGGAATGTATAAATTGTTATGACTGAAAGTAATGAAATAATTTTCAAAATATTTAATAAGACTGTAATGCGTTTCCGAAATATCAACCGAAATTCCTCTTATACTTTGTTATTGGTTTTTTGGGTTCTTCGATGAAAAATAAGTTTTACTATAACTGTGAAAAAGACATTTTGCTTATTATTAGTACACGTTTGCCTTGCAGAATTCAAACTTTAAAAGTTTAAAAGCTTAAATATTTAGCTTTAAAAGAAACTACTGTTTTATTCCTTTTGTTCTATATCTATGTCTGACTTACGTGTCTGTTACTTCTTATTACTCTGATACTTCTTTGCCTTCGTCCCCACTATTTGGGGTTGGCCACCCTCATCCTAAAACTCCTTTCGTCACGATCTCTCACATCATATTCGCATACATGTCATTTTCAATCACATTTAACCACGTGGTTTTTTGTCCTCTCCTCCCCCCTCTTTCTCCTACGTTTATTTTCATTACCATTCTTACTGCTTCCCATTCCTTTTTCTTCATAAAATGTCCAAACCATCTCAGTCTATATTATTAACACAAGGTTTCATACCCTCGTAAAAATCACCGTTATTTTGTACCTCTTGTCCTCTTCCTCCAAATTCCAACTCTATATATGCTGATTTACTTCTACTAATCCTTAGTCGTTGTCTATCGAGTGTTATTCTCAACTCCTCAAGTCTATTGTTACCTTCTTCCGGATTTTCTACTACCAAAACTATATTGTTTACAAACATCATATAGCACTGTATCTCCTTTATGACCTATACATTATTAATACTGTGCTGGTTTTATCATATTTCAGGAACCCATAAGACTACGTATCCGGGTGGTTTTCTATTAATTATGTACACTTAAAAACAACATTATAGCGAGCTTACGCCTCATCCAGGAATTTTTGGCACACAGGTTTACCATATTAAATTCGGTGTTGGTCACTAAGAATCAGGATCTGATGGAACTGGTCAATTCGGAATCGCGAGTCATGCTGCTTTACTGTACCAGAGAAGAAGCGCTCAGGATACTCACGGCGGCCAGACATTACAAAATCACAGGAGAAAATTACGTTTGGGTGGTCACTCAAAGCGTCATGGAAAATCTTCAAGCACCGCAACTGTTTCCCGTCGGCATGTTAGGTGAGCATATTGTGCATTATTGTTTAATTAAAGTTGTAACCATTACAATCTCTTAAGAAAATTGTTTTTTAAAACTTCGTTATGAGCACCCAAATTGGCACTTACAAAATTTTTTTTAAAAAAAAACCTCCATCCACCTCCTAAAGAGCAAAAAAAAGTTGTCCTCTTATATTATAAAATATGGGCGTTTGTGCCCGCGTCGAGTATATTTTTCTAAGACTACAAAAACCTTTACCACATAATGATGTTTAATTAAATTGAAACATTTTAACTGTATACACTTTAAAAAAACAAAAAATTTAAAAAAAAAGAACATATTTAACGATTATTATAGTTTGGTTTTTCATATTGAAAAATGAATACAGCGTTATAATATTTTTTTGCCACATGGCCAGCGACGAGTAGACAATAAAATAAGATGCACATATGAGTTAGGTATTACTATAAGGTAATACAATTCATATTTCATATATAAAATAGTCGTAACTCGACCTACATTTTCATTGCACTCAGCTAATTTGTATGTCAAACCAGAAAAATAAGTAAAATTGGCAGATTTCACTATTTACAATGTTTAGACTAACAACATCACATCACGGGGGGATTAATAAAAATCTATCAGGTTCTTAGGATTTATTCGTTAGGGTAGGATTGTATTTTTAAACGCACTTAGTCAAACTGAAGCCGACTGCAAACAGTTCCTGCAACGAGCGCTTCCAAGTCACAATACAGAAAATCATTAATATTTGTAATAATATTTATATGACCTTTTTGGATTCAGATCCTAAACGATATAGAATTATGTAGGGTATATCAACGTTTATCCATAGTACTTAATCTAAAGAATATTTTTTATAACTTTGGAACTCATTCGTCTATTTTTAAAAAAAAATATATTAATTTTAACTTAAAAAATATGTACATTTTTTGCTTATTTAAGTACCTTTCAGTACAATTTCTCATTTATGAACTAACTACATAAAACTATATTAGTTCATCAATTTAAAAGATATCGTCGTTCCTAATACAAAATAAATAAACAAAAACAAATCATTGTTAAAATAATATCTTCCAGCTACGTGTGTTGAAGTAAACAAGCACTTTGTAACATAAAACATATGAGCAGTTTAGTTTGTTTGATATACACCCCCGTACTTATATAAACCGACAACACTAAACTTCTGTTATTTGTTTCTGTGTATTATAATATAATCTTGATCAAAGTCGTCTCGTACTCGGGACTTGCTTTGATCACACCCGAACCACGAAGGTACCAAAAGTAAAACGTTATTTGCTTCATTTTCGAACCTTAAACGTTCTTTATTGACGATAAAGTAAAATCTAATATTACAAATTTTAATCAATTTACTAATTTATTTTTAAAAAAACGAGCGTCTTTCTTGAACGGACGACTTGAAAGAACATTTTTCGAACTACACAAAAATTAAAAAACTTTTCAAACATTTCAACTTGTACGGTAATAATAATAAGAGTTTTTTGTTATCACGAACTTAAAAATAGTACAAACTTTTATTTTAACATAAAATAACATATCGCGTAAATCATTAGAATAAATTTAAACAAGTCAGTGGGTCTTTAAATATTTATATAACTGAAAGTAATAAAAACTCTTTCAAGAAAACCCTTTGATACTGATCTAAAAATACCGAATATCAGCTAAAAATACTATAAACGTGATAGTGTCAATTAGTCCAAAAACTACCCAAAAAGAGAAAACCCATCATTTTAAGAGGAAAAGGTTATATGATTTTTTTTTTACTTTTTACTTTACCGAATATGTTTTTTATTTTAAAACTTTTGCCAAAAGGATTTCCCGTTTTTTAAAGAAATAGATAAAACTGATGGTAAAAATTTGGCCATATTTTGTAGTTATTTATCAGTGACTTCTGATCCATAGAATATCTGCGATATTAGAAGAAATCGGTCCAGTGGTTAAACAATTGCAATTGTATTGATAATTTTCTATCAAAGACGTTAGCCAGGCTTATTCGTAGCAGGAAATAAGTCGATAGAAATCCCAGACATAAATATTTTTTATTTAAAAAAAAAATTAGTGCTGTATCCTTAATGAATTCCATATCTCATAGCAAATTTAATGAATAATTAAATCATTTTTTGGACGTTGCATTGTCACTTCAAGTTTTTAAATATTTTTATTTTTTTAACCCCCTCCTAAATAAATCATTTTTATATCAACTATTTAAATTAAGAATATTTCCTTGTCTTACGTTTAATTGATCACTCTGCATATATGGTTCGTATGTACCCAAAATCAATTTCTAATATACTAAATTAAAACATATAGAACAACACTAGCATTTTACGATACATTCCACTATAGTTTACTAACACTAAAACCATTGTTTTCTCCTTGTTTAATACACAAGTAATATTAATTTGAAACGGCGTGTGGACTCGAGAACAAGTAAAAGTTTCTAACTAATTAGAAGAAACTTGGGCTTATGTGTTTCAAGGGGATATCTTAACATGCCCGAAATGTTTGAGGTAATTAAAAACAACGGTTAAACTAAAATAATTGCAAAATAGATCATTACCCGGTATTTTCGAAAGTTTTCGGTTTTGTACAGTTGTATTTTAGTTGAAAAAATAGACTTTGCCTAATGTTATCCCGTTAGTTGCAGCTACTAATATTCTGGACATCATTATGATTGAAAAATATTTTACTCATGATGCTAAAATTATTTCTAATCGTATATTATATTGTCTTTGTTATAACATATAGTCACGGTTGCTGTAGACATTGTCATCCGATTTCATTATCTTGCGTTGTCTTGTCATTACTTAATAATAGTATATATATATTGATATAACAAGCAAGGGATTTTCTTAGACAATTCCCCTGGGACGTCTCTACGGGATACTCGGAAAGCTAACAACACGCACATACACATATTAAATTATAGTAGTCTTAAAAATAAAAGTATTGGGAGAAAAACTCTAGTAGAAAAACTTTTGTATTCGTTGGTGGCTTTCGCTTAAAACGAACCAAAAAAAATATTACTAAAAAATATTAACTGTTATAAATTATTACATGAAACTTCGAAACAATTTGTTACTTGACTTGCAAGATTTTGCTAGTTTTTATCAAATTTGATATAAATCAACAACCCCTGTATGTGTGTTTGGGAAACAATTATGTTAAAGCATCGCAATAAGGTTTCAAATGAATAAAAACAATGTCTCTAATTTATTGAGTGGTTTTTTTAATCCTTTATACCCCTTTTATGTATACAAGAAGTTTGGCATAACTGCAGTTATGATCTCAAACGATTTTCCCGATTTCATTTTTTCCATAAATATATCTATTCCGATGTTAAAAACGATGACTTAGTCTGACAAACTTTAAAATTATTTGCAAAATCGTTGTTTACTGTTTTCAAAAAAAAAAAAAAACTAAACGTAAAATTAAACTTTTTATTTTTTAAATAATAATCACTATGGAAAATGTATAATATCATAAGCCATAAATAATTAATTTTATATCTATAAGCAAAAACTTGATTTTAATATATTTTACTAAGTACAATAACTTTGTTAAAATGTATTATTATTTTTGTATACACCCCGAGGTTTTGGTGAAGAAAAAATGTCACTGAATATTTTTACTTGTAAAATTACTTTATTTATAATCGAGTACAAAATATTAAGAAGTTTGTTATGTGACGTTTGACATTTAAAAATGTATACAATTATCACGTGTACAAGTATTTTTGGGAGAAATGATAATAAATATTATTTATAATATATCAGAGACAAATTTTGGGTCAGAGAAACAAGGGATTCAAATAAAACTCTCATAAAACTAGATTTTTTTCACATTTTGCAAAGAGCCAACACAAAGTCAAAAAAAAAACGACCATTCTAATGTTCAAAACTATTTAAGCATACAAGACGAGGTTAACTATGACCCAGGAAATATCACATAGGACTATTACTCTTTTTCATAATTTTATAAGTATAGTCAGCCCAAATTTGACATATTTTTTAACAATATAACCCTTCATGTTACCCTTCACAGTGTCCTTCCTTGATGAGTGTATTATCCTTAATAAATCACGCTTTACATATACATTTTTAGCTTATAATAGACATTTTAAACAATTACAGGCGTACACTTTGATACTAGTAGTGAAAGTTTGGTGAAGGAAATCAATACTGCCATTCGAGTGTTCGCTTACGGGGTAGAAGATTTCGTTAGCGATCCGGACAACATAAACGAAACGTTGTCAACACAACTGTCCTGCGAAGGAGACGGCGAGTCTCGTTGGATCACTGGTGACAAATTTTACAAGTGAGTATTTGCTGGCCGGTGGTTTTTGATACTATATTATGATAAACAAATTTAGTCGATCGAATGAATAAGTTGCGGAGCTGAGAATGTGTTGTTTTTAAAATTATGTGTTTTTTGGACCCAAGATATCTTTTATATCACTATAACCTTCAAACAATCGAAGACATCCAAAAAATGTATATATTTTGCAACTTAAAAATTACGGCGTTCTGAAACTTTTTTTTAAAATTGTCAAATTAGTTCCAAAATTAATACATAAAATGGAATATCCTTAAAACATAGTACTATTGATAAACATTGACAACCTCCCCAAAACAAATATCGAAAACCCTTTCCTTAAAAAGGGTGTAAACTTTTTTTCGCTTATTAATGTGTAGTTTTCAGGCTTAGACATGAAAATTAGACTGAAGGTAGATCTAAAGTGAATCTATAACGTGTACAATTTTCTCAAAAACCTGTACTTTATTGGGCCAAAAAATTAAAAAGTATACATTTCCTGTAAAATCCGTACTAAAACTTTTTTAACTTTTAATGAAACCCCCAAAAAAGAGAAAATTACACTTTTACCGTAGTCAATTTCTAGGTTGCTATGCGAGAGTGAATCGACTGTCTACAGGTATCTTTATGTTGCTAATTAAGATGTATGGGAAACAAAGGCAACCAATTACCTTAAAGTGGTTTTATCGCTCTCAGTTAAAATAAATCCCGTATACTGTGATCTGTACTTTAATAAAAAGTTTAAATTGGCTATTATCCCTAACTAATTAAATTAAAGGAATACTAAACAAACAAGCGTTTTGTAATACAAAAAAAATGCATAGTTTAGATCGTTTGGTATACAACCTCATACTTAGTATGAACCGACAATACTAAACTATTTTTTAATAAATTATTCGTTTTTGTATAATAATATAATATAATCATGTTCGAATAGTCGTCTCGTACTCGGGACTTCGATTCCACCCAAACTGCCTAAGTACTGTTATTGTTCCCCGAAAATCATAAACGTGAATACTAATAACTTATATGTTAATTAATAGTAATAATTTACATCGCCGACTAACTCATTACCGCGGTGTTGTTCATATTGTATACTATGTTATTACGTCGAGAGAGGATTAAAAATAACATCGGTAAACGGACGGGCTATTAATTATTATTGTTGCAGTTTATACATAATATTGGTGTTTATAATATATTATATGCAAAATAAAACCTATAGTGGATTATTTAGACGGGGTAGCTGTCCGACGCTATCCAGATGGATTCCTGTTGATTAATCAAAATCCGTTCTCTCTCGGCGAGCCGATAAATTAAACCGAGACCGCAGCCGCGCCGTCTCGTTCTTTATCGGCGTACCTTTTTCAATTATTATTTCCCACCGTCCTCCTTAAGAAAAAATGACAAAAGTAACCATATACACCGAGCCGCCGAAAATACCCCTGAGCAGTCTTGTGTTGAAACAGTGCAAAAAATTAAGTCAAATTTGGTTCGGCCAATGATTATGTACCGCCCCCATTTGTCCGCCCCAATGTGTAACTAGGTGAACAATGTAAAGCCGACAATATGAACGTGAACCGTTCGCGGTTGCTTTCCCCGTAGATTGGCCGGGTATTGCTGGATTAAGTTCCAAATGAAATCATCGGTTTTCAAAAGCGGTAAATCTCGATCTCGGTACTAAAAATGAAAAAAACTTAATTGGATTTTGGTTAGGTAAACGAAATAAATAAATTAAATTCAATATTATGTTAAAAAAAAAAAAAATAAGGAATTCAGCGTTTGACTTTATTGACGAAATATAAATGAGTAAGAAGTCAAAGCACAGTGTTGAAAAAAGATAATATTCCAAGATTACAATTGACAAAAATCAATAATAATAATGCCACTAGACTTAACTTTAATAAAATTGTGTCATTTAATTATTTACCAGTTTAATAATGATTGTTTTATATTTAAGATTTATATTACAGGTCTTCACAAAATATTGGGTTGGTATTATTTAAGTGCTAAATTCAAACTTTTTTTTTTGGAGACTTTCACTGAACCTATACGCAGTGTCTCGTGGCTTAAAAATAAGCTTTACACCTTTAATTTACCACGTTCTCCGTTTAGCTGGGACTAGGTTTACCTTGTTTTTTTTTATTGCCGGAATTCAGTTTACTTATAAACATTAAAATGGGCTCAATTTACCGAATCCGGATTGACCCGTCTATTCGTTTCAGGTACTTGAGGAATGTGAGCGTCGAAAACGTCGAGCCAGCAAAACCCAAAATCGAATTCACCGCGGACGGTGTTTTGAAATCGGCAGAATTGAAAATCATGAATCTTAGGCCAGGTTTAGGCAACTCTCTCGTCTGGGAAGAGGTGAGTAAAACGATAATCAATCACATTTATCGTTCAGTCGTTCCATCCAAAAGGTTCCACGCTCATCTAGATTGTCACCGACAATTCGGATTTAAAAATTCCAGATTCTCACGAAAATAACGATCTAGTCCCATTTTAGGATTTTTGCAAATCCTCTTGAATCGAAAAAACAAAATGTTAAGAACAAAAATGTTGTCAATTTCATACATTGTCAAGCGATTAGGATTCAAAAATCAACCCATTCCTTAAATTTGATGTATTCAACAAAAATACTATTTTAGTAAATCATTTTTTATATTATTAAGCATTTTCGTACAACTTGCAAATAGTAAAATTGATTTTATACGGTTATCTGGATTTTCAAAGTCTTATCCCTACAGGCATGCCGTGTTGCTAAGTCGACTGATCATTAGAGAGATGTCGCTTGGGGAACACGTGTCGGCCTATAAACCGACTTCTAAACCAGAAACTTTGCACGACGCACCTGCTTCCAGATCCGTACACGTGCCCAAGATAGTATTTTACCTTTGTATTATTGCGCTTTGATAAATGCACTGTAAAACTTTCGATAAATGTACGATGTATGTGTGAGCGTGTAAATAACGCTATGCTCCTTTATGTCCATCAAAACTACAAATATTTTTTGTACACTATAACCATTGGATTATTGCTTGTCGGGTTAAACGACGAACTCCGAGGTTGTAAACTTTTTTTTCCCTCAATAGAAAATAAATAATCGCAATCTTTCATTGGGAAATCAAAAATCATCTATCAAAGGCGTCACGTTCGATGCGTTTCACGACCGTCATGATCGTCGCACCTCGTAATAGTTTTTTAACATATATATGAAAATACCTAAATATAATTATTACTTTTCAGATTGGCGTCTGGAAGTCGTGGGAACGCGAAGGGCTGTACATTAAAGACATCGTTTGGCCCGGAGACAGTCACACCCCGCCTCAAGGAGTGCCGGAAAAGTTCCACTTGAAGATAACGTTCCTAGAAGAAGCTCCATACATCACGATGGCGCCACCGGATCCAGTCACTGGCAAATGTAGCATGAACAGGGGCGTTATATGCCGAATAGCGCGCGAAGAGGATATAGAAGAGTAAGATTGGTTTATCTGGAATTAGCGTCATCGTGACAAGGGGAAGAGAAGAGAGAGTAGGAAAGAAAAAAGGATATCTATGGAAGGGATTGAGGGAGGAAGGAGAAGGGAGAGAAGAATAGAAGTCTCTCTCGTCTTCTACGCCCAAATGAATCTATGAATCTATGTAACATGGAAGGGGTCTGTGCAAAAACCAAACAAGTCCATTTTTATCAACAATTATTTGTTTATGGGAAATCGGTCATGAAAAATTATTAAATTTAAGTGTAACAAACCGTAAAAATCGGACAATTACTTACAAATATATTACCAAACGAATTATTTCCCGCCAACTGCAGTTAGTGAGACAAAGAACTTTCTTTTGACCATCCTGGCAGACAAAAAATTAAGATAACTGTTTTTACACGAACCTCTTCTGCTTTTCCGTTTATCGTAGAAAATATATTTTTTTCCGTTGCCGCGGCCGACACGAGGTTCTGGATCTTAAGCAACACTACATAATAATAATAAAACGATAGACCGATGTAATCTGACTATAAATTTCCACCGTTTCGTGCAGTTGTTATCGTCATGACAAATGATACGATAATTTATATTACAGTATAGTGTTCGTATGGAAAGTCGTTTGGCGCAAGCGATAAAAACTAAACGAACGGGAAGGGTTTCGAAACTTCTTGACTGATCGAGCGTGAAATAATATTAATGTCACTGTCCTTTTGCCAACGCGTGTAATGCTTACAACCAACGATCAGCTACGATTGTTAAACTCGATCCTTTGTAATGTACGACCTATGTGTAGTTTTGAAATTATCTAATTTTCTAAAAAAAAAAAAAATACTTTTAAAAGTACTATAAAGGTCGAAAACATATAGCAACTACATTAAATTATGAGGACAACGGTCAAGAGTAGCATTAACCGAACGCAGAACCCACCGACAATGGTATTTTAATACTGTGTTGCAGGGTAGACGTCCCAACGGCGCACCGCAACGGAAGCTATTACCAATGCTGTTCGGGATTTTGCATCGATTTGTTGGAAAAATTCGCAGAAGACTTGGGTTTCACGTACGAGCTGGTCCGAGTGGAAGATGGAAAATGGGGAACCCTTGAGGTATGATAACAATATTGGAATCTAAAAATGTTTCAGTATTGTGTGGCCGTTACGACTTTCGGACTCTCCAACCCACTCTTGTGATGCCTTTAGTATTTCACTTTGGTACGAATATGTCTTATGGCTGGGGTCAATCCGAAACTTGCGTGGAAATCTTCATATCACGATTTTACATCATCGTTACGGTGTCACGACCGATGACGTCAGCTGCTAAAAAGATATTAAAGATAATAGGTTACTTGTAAACACACACGAACAACATTATTGCACAATTGTGCAGTTTGGACAATAATGATAGGCTAGAATAGATATTGAAGAATTATGCAATACATTTCTAACATGGTTTTATTTCTACAATACATTGCACAGTCTTCTTTATTTACTCCATATTATTGTGCGTGCTAAATGCTAATAATTAATAATTGTCGAATGTATCGATTTAATCCGTCTTATCGCTAATTTCTAGTGAAAGTGACGGGAGGACAGAAGACATAAATAGACATACCTATTCGTGATTCAACGTCTTTCCGAAAGATCTATAAAACTTCCTACTTGCCTCTCAACGTGCCAAATCGTTCGTTAGGGTTGATTTTTGGCAAATCCACTCATCTAAAATAACTAAATGCCGCACCCAACGCACAACTCTGGCGACTATCTAGTCTCAGCACGGCGCGGAGGTGGCGTTTACACACCATGCGCGTTTGTTACAGAATGGCAAGTGGAACGGTTTGATTTCGGATTTGGTGAACAGGAAGACCGACATGGTAATGACTTCGCTGATGATCAATTCGGACCGGGAAGCCGTGGTCGACTTTAGTCTTCCTTTTATGGAAACCGGCATATCCATAGCGGTGACTAAACGCACGGGAATTATATCGCCCACCGCATTTTTGGGTAAAACTCAACAGTGAAATGCAATCAAAATCTTTTCGGTTTTCTAATTTTTAATATATTTATTAACCAGAACCGTTTGACACCGCATCGTGGATGTTGGTAGGAGTAGTAGCGATACAGGCGGCAACGTTTTCCATATTCGCGTTCGAATGGATGAGTCCTTCCGGATTCGATATGAAGGTATACGACCGGCACTTACAAAAAAAAAATCTTCTCCAAATTATTTATATTTTATTTTCAATAAATAAATATACTTTTAGTCCGTGTCACAAGCGCCAAATCATAGATTTTCCCTGTTCAGAACTTACTGGCTCATTTGGGCGGTACTCTTCCAAGCAGCCGTGCAAGTCGACATACCCAAGGGTATCACATCTAGGTGAGTAAACGAACAATGAATCGTAACCAGTGTCGAAACAAAGACCACGAAGTATACCTATTTTTGCTCTCTTATAGATTCATGACCAACATTTGGGCCATGTTCGCCGTAGTGTTCTTGGCCATCTACACTGCTAACCTGGCGGCATTCATGATAACCAGAGAGGAGTATTACGACTTTTTCGGGATAGACGATTACAGGGTAACTATACGCTGGTTGAACGCACTGATATAGTTGAAATAAAATTTAAAAAAGTAATGCTAATCCGGAATTTGTTGTCTATTGTTTTCAGCTCAGCAAACCGCATAGTCACAAACCGATGTTTAAATTCGGCACGGTACCACACTCGCACATCGACTCGACGATCCATAGATATTTCCCGGAAATGTTCAACTATATGAAAAGCTTTAACAGGTCTACCGTTCAGGAAGGGCTCAGCTCGCTATTGACTGGGTGAGTTCCGGTTCCGTATGCATTTGTTGCCACGAATATGTCTTATAGCTGGGGGGTCAGGTTAGGTGATTAGAGATTAGTGGTTAGAGATTAGAAGTAAGTTGGGGGAAAGAGGAAAGTGTAGAGAAGGAAGAGGGCGGAAATAGACATATTCATAATCTAACGGCATTGCAAAAGATTTAAGAAAAATATTTTTCAGGGAGCTCGACGCCTTCATCTATGACGGAACGGTACTGGACTATTTGGTGACCCAGGACGACGACTGCCGACTGTTGACCGTTGGTTCGTGGTACGCGAAAACCGGTTACGCCATAGCGTTCCAGAGAAACTCCAAATACGTTCAAATGTTCAACAAACGGCTGTTGGATTTCCGCGAAAACGGTAACGACCTTTGGAGAAGAGTCCGGAATGCCATTATTCTGTCCAATTAGATTCGCCCTATCATGCGACCTTTTTCGTTCACGTTTTGCAGGCGATCTGGAGAGATTGCAGAGATTTTGGATGACTGGCACTTGCAAACCGGACGATCACGACGAACACGCGACCAGCGACCCGCTGGCCTTAGAACAGTTCTTGTCGGCATTCTTGTTGCTGATGGGTGGTACCCTGTTGGCCGCATTGATACTGTTGCTGGAATGTTTGTACTTCAATTTTTTCCGGAAAAAATTAGCGAAAACTGACCAAGGTGGATGTTGCGCCCTTATCAGTCTGGTGAGTTTCTGTTAAAGAACCAAAGCAAAAGTATGGCGTATGCCTTAAAAATATTTCATGTAAATTTCAGAGCATGGGCAAGTCGTTGACTTTCCGGGGTGCTGTGTACGAAGCGCAAGACTTTTTGAAATTCCGTCGTTGCAAGGATGCGGTATGTGACTCACAATACCAACTGCTCCGAAGCCAGCTGATGAGCACATACTCCAAAATGAAACAGCTCGAAAAAGAACTAGAACTGAGAAAGTTAAAAGCCGAAAGAAGGTTCGATTAGATGAACAGCATTAATTTGTTAATTTCTAACATGTAGGACTTTTTGAAAATGTCGTTTTTTTTTTAAACTTGTGTCGTCAGGAGGAAGAGGTCATCATCTTCTTCTAGGTTATTTCAGTGTTTGACTGAAGGTCAAGATAGTTGTCCGGATAAAAAACAGTAAGGAAAATAAATAGGATCGGTAGAATGATGAAGCATACAATTCGCTTTGCCGCGTTTTATAACAATAGTAAAGTCTATACATATTGATATTATGAGTTACAAGGGTAAACCGAAACAAAATGCTTTACCGGCTTATATTTAGAATTATATTATCATAGAAACGGACTGTAATAAGGTGGACCGATATATTATATTACAATAAAATACATAAACCTAGATGCTGATATTATACTAATATACTTATATATTAATAGACCAAGCTTCAAGCGCTCGATAGATATTAATTAAAAATATATACACTATATTATATTATATGTATATATTGTTAAACTGTAAATAGTTAGCAGCATGTGCGTAAATTAAAAGCAAAAGATAATATTACAATATTAATACAAATATTAAATACGATAAATTAATTATCAGCGTATAGTTTTTTTTTGTACTACACAATATTACTTAATATATATTATTTTTAATTGTTTTGGTGTAATCTTGTTTTTTATAGATTCCAATTCTCACCGGCGTCACCGCTGAGACAGAGAGACGTGGTCAGACCGAGTATTGTATCTTCAGAGTACATAAATAGATTTGATCACGAGCCAGTCAGGTAAAATCACACGAAGCACAATGATATATAACTCATGTTTGACCTCAAACAAATGAGACAGTCGATATAAATGTATTAGAGACAAATTGCCATTGATACTACATTGATAATAATATCATACATATTATAATCGTACAGCTAAAATTACTCCGTTAAATCAACGATTCTTTCTGAATCTTTATGAAGATTTGACCAAATAAAAAAATGTCAATGTAATTCAGTTTTTATTATAAAAAAAATGTCTCATTGTTAGGACAATAAATTATGATTTTTGATTTTAGGTTTTAAAAATCGTTTTTTATAACCATTTTGCCAAACCCTAAAATATGTTTTATTTGGTTAGTAAAATATTGAAAACACATATGGCCAGTGAGATTGGGTAGTGGAAAAAAAGTTTTGCATCATTTATAATAAAAGTAGTACTTTTTTTTTTACAAATCATGTTTATTTTCTCAAACTCAAAACGAATTGCCTAAACGTTACATCTTGAAAAATGTCGAGATTTTTTAACCTCGAGTCAATTTAAAATTTGTATATATGCTGTCAACCGTAAACCATATTTTCAGGACAGAAATCGCCGAAATGGAGACAGTACTGTGATTCTGTTCGACGTGTGAACTCAACAGAAAATCAAAAAAAAATAAAAATATTATCAATAGTACGTTAAAACTTAAACAACAATATTAGTATTAAACTGTGAATCTCAAAAGAAATATTTTTAAGTTATAAAATGTTATATAGTATTACTATTATTTTGCATCGCTGTGAAAAGCGGCGGACGGAGAGAAAAATAGACACTGAACTAAATGAATAAAAAACAAATAACGCTCAATGCCATAAAGAAAATTAATTGTTTTGTTTTTAAATTGTTTTGACGTTTCAAGAGACAATAATATTTTTTAAAAATGTTTTTTTTTTTCTGTTATCTAGTTAACTACTTTACACGTTTTCAATTTTACTACATAACTTGATAAAACCAGAAATCTCTTGTCTCTTCTCAAATAAAAAAAATCTACAATTTTTTTGTATAATTTACACGACTGTATTTTTCTTTCATGTTGTAATAAAATAAAATATAATATCGCTTACATCAAAATAGTTTTTCTTCGGCGCTCATAATAAAACGATAGGTAGGGGATTTATCTATCAGCATTCCAGTGATGGAATTTCTGTTGTGTTTTGTATTTCTTATTTTTTTGTTATAATATTTTATTTATTAAGAACGTTATAAAAACAACTAAAAACCAACCATAATCAGTAACGATTCGACCGATCATTAACGGATTGCTCAAATGTAACATCACGAATGTATATGATATATTATATATTTTGTGATCACCCGATTGTACTTAATGATAATAAATAATTAGCCAGCCTCTATAATATTGTACATTGCCTTTAAGTCATTGCTTTCGTTTCAAAAATTATGTAAATATTTACACTTTGCGCTATACAATAAGTATATTATATAATATAATATATTAGCTTGTTTTTTTAAGTAACTTTAATGTTATACTTCAACTATCTATATATATTAAAATATTATTATAAACTATATTAACTAAAATATATATATATGAAAATAATTTAGTTGGAAGCTCTTGTAGTACATACCATAGTAAATATATGTTTGATTTTATCGCTAATAATTAACGTGACTTATTAATTTCAGAATTTTTTCTAATCAACACCTATACAGTTAATTTCACGTTATTTAATAAATAGTATTGTTTTAGTACATGGCAATATAAGTTCTAAAACTAATCAATTTTACTCACAAAAACACCAAATACCAAATATATTCAAAATATCTTTGAGGTGTTTATAATGTTGTTAAATTAAACTACCGTTCCAGTTAATATTATTTCTCCTCAACCTTCTTCTCCTTTACATTATCATTATTCTTCTTCTTCTAATTATATGCGATCAAAACAACTAATCCTTAGCTTTTAATGAAAACAATCTGCCACACAACAACCATCACACTTTTGGATTTCTTCTATTTATCTCTTTTATGTCCATTATTATCGTCCATACTATCTCTGTTTATTCTCTCTTCTTAACATTCCTTAACCACCTCAATCCTTACTTTCTCATCTTTCAGTTAATATTAAATGCTTAAAAGATAGTTAATTTATTTTTATCTGGTTTACTTTTTGAGTTTCCAACGAATTATGTTTGTGCTAGAATCCTAGAACTATAATTATTATTATTATCTATTGGTTTAATGCAAATTAAATATGTACTAACACTAATTGAGAAGACGCCACACATGCCCATTTTTAAAGGGTTTTGTATTGTCAATTACTGTTGATAACAAAAAATTATGAGTATTATTCTATGATGATAGTTTATTGCAATGTTTTTTATATAAAAAAAAACCCAAAAATTCGCTATACAGTTTTACCAAATTTTTGCAGCTAAACGCAAGTTCCAAAGATTTTTGAATGATTTTAAAATTAACTAGGTTTTAAACACTTAATTGTCCCAATGAAATAATACAAATTAAATGCAGTTTTAACGATAAAATTTGGCGTCCTCTTCTGAAAATAATGTAAATACCGCAAACCGGACTCGAAAACTTTTGTTATTACGTTTTTTACAAATATACTCTAGCATTATTTTAATTTAACTTATTACAGACGACTCACGTGTTATATACCTACAACATACAAACGTCCATTCCTTCGTCTTATTTCACATTTTGTAGATCTATACAGTTGGCTAACAACAAAAATTATTAGTACTTTTTCGAAATTGTATGTATTTTCCCCAAATACTTAAAACATTAATTTGGCTAACATCATGTTTTAATGTAATTAATATTATAACATTTATGTTATTTTATAATTTTATAACAAATTTAAAAAAAAAAATTGTCAAGTTAGAATAATTTATATGTACATTTTATTGTCGTTAGCACCATTACACAGTATTATTATTGTTATTATAATATTATTATTATGGATAATACGTGATTTGTATGTGTTTAAACTTACCAATTTGTTATGTTTTTGTTTTGTTGATTTATTTATTATAAACAATTTACGTTTGGCATAATATTATTATTAGAAAACAAGTAAATATTATTATAACATTGTGTTGAGTGAACGAGTTTGCCAAAAGCACATTGCCCACTGTAAATACAACACAAGTCACAGTTTATCATCACGCCTCGATGACTTAACCCGTGCCATATTTTAGAAATGTATAATATAAATATATTATATTATGTATACATAATAATTATTGCATAGTATTATTGTTTATTAATATCTCAATGTTACCAAAATATATGCCGAGTGTTTTGTTAAAAATAATGTGTTTACCGTATGCGTTTTTCTTTTCCTTGTTATCTTCGGTGCTGGAAAATACTGTTTTTACAGTAGAGTATTTTAATTTTTTAATCGCCATGGACAACATTAATTTGTTTGACATATTGTATAAATTATATTCACCGATGCATTCATTTTGCCTAAACAAAACGCCGTATTACTGATTTTATTAGTTATTACTATTTAACTTGGCAAAGGTCGATTTTTGCGAAATGATTAGAATTAACCCGAAACATTTGAGAGTAAATACTTTAGGGTGGGGAGGAGAGGGGTAATTATTTTTATTTTCTAATATTATTTACATTTGCAAGTTTACAACATTTCTTTTGTTTCACAAGTTATTTAAACAAAATTATAATATGAGAAAAATGTGTGCAGCGAGATAGGGATACCTATCACAGAATTATAATCGCTTTCGACTTATTTTTTGAAACCATAATATCAGTTATGTTAACAAGTAACTATAATAAACCAAGTAATTGGACGGAATAACTACACCTGTTTTATAATTTATATTGACTTCAGATACGGTGAAATTTAAACATGTTTTGTTTAGCATTTTACATCACTTCTTTCTGTTGGCAGCATTGTCATTTACAGAAATATTATGCATTTTAGTTGACACAGTTATATTGTTTACAACATTATTTTTATCAAAAGCGTTTGTTAATAGTTAAGTCAATAGAGTTATTTTTTTCTAATAGTGTACAAGTCCACATTGTTTCATGCGAACAGAGACGCAATACACAAATCTCTCACACCGTATCTGGGTCACACCGTATGTTTTTTTGTTTAAAAAATATAAAGTTTTTCATCTGCATAAGATATGTCAATAATCAATACTGGTTGGTTCAGATTTATTAGGTATACTGTACTGCACCAAAGTATAATGTATAGCTATCATAATAATATAAACTAACCTGTAGTCTGGAAATTAAATAAAAACAAATTAATATTTTAATACTGCATTACTTGATTGACATCCCATTGTTTTTATCTAATATTTACACCCAAACATAGTTTGTTATTTTGTGTCACTTCATCTGTTTACCCGTACAATAAATCTTAGCAAATACCTTTTCGTATAACGATTTATTTACCAACACTTTTATATCTACTTCCATTTGCAACACATACTGGTAACTGGCGATGGCATCTATAATGTTTTTTTATTAATATATTTATGCGATTGAAACTATTATAAACTAGTATAAGCAACATGCCATTGTCATTTGTCAATGATTAACTATTAAATTATTACTATTAACATAATAAGATTGCATCGAAATTGCTCTTCTGCGAATTTCTTTACAAAATCGTTGCAAAATTGCCACGGAGCGGCGAAATTTCAATGTCACAGTAGTACCAACGTGAATAATGCAATAAGGTTGGTATAATATTATTGTCAGACTTCCCGGTAACATTCATATCAATTTGAGTTGACAGACCAGAAGAAAAAAAAATTTAGCAAGATACGCGTAAAATAAACGACAGCGATTTTTTGTAGGGCTAGTTATATATTATTAATTTTTTAAATTAGTATTATTATTATCATAGCAAGTCCTCCGACAAAAATATGACCGGTCGATTATTTCTGATATTAATAATCATAATATTAAACTTCCCGTGTATGTAAATAGTGTTTTGCGTCCAATGTCCATTCTGTTTTTTTATTTGTTCTGTGTTTTGACATTAAATAGAAGTACTAAGTAGTTCCCCTTCCTGCTAAATTTTCCATGGATTTCCGCCTATGACCGTGACTAACCTACTTATCTATGAAATTATTATGATCCTAATTAATAAATTGATGCCACAACAAGTCCTAACTGCTGACGAAATATGTTTGAATAGTTTCAATCGCGTTTGTTTCCATGGCCATTATTCTTAGATCTCATCCAACAAAAATACACATAAATTCCAATGGTTTTATATTCAATTCCTAAATTGTAAAACACGTTTTTTTGGAGTGCAATGCTGCAGCTGTTGTAAAGAGTTTTTTAGCTTCGACGAGAAGCTGAGAAGGTATTTTTTTTTTTTTTTTTAGATTATTGTGTTTTTTTTTGTGTCTAGGCCCATTATATATTTTAAACCGATTTTTTCTTGTAGCAACTCTGTAGAATCGTGTACAATTTATATAATTTTTAACCTGAAAGTACGGCGCGCTATAACTTTTTAAAAACTATCCAATTAGTTCGCAATTTGAATGAAATAAACTTAAGATGAAGTCCGACTAAAAACCACCAAGAAGCCAAAAAGAAATACCAGAAACATTTTTTATTTTTAAGAAGTATAGGTAATTTTTTACAAAATCTAAACTTAAAGGTTAAACTGTGATGTGTAATTATTAGATCTGTAATTAAGACTCTTTTTTGGTAGTTAAATTACTTTTCAGACTATCAAAGTATCTTTAACAGCGATTTAAAAAAAGCCAAAATTTAAGTTAACTAAAAAACCGACGAGAGAATCTAGTTAAAGTTCATCTCTTTTTAACGGTATCAAAATTTGGTTTCTATGACCATTATTTTGCTATGGCCTACGCACTTTATCAAAAACATATTTTAACGATTATTTTTAAAGGTTATGACGTCCTCCTTAAGTAAAATTACTATTCTATGGTTTCTTAAGAATTTTGAACTTACAAACGAACGTTCACAACACTGTCGATGTTATTGGTAAAACTTGAAATATGCCGTGCGCTACTGGTTAAATATTCTAGTTTTTGTTTTCCAAATCACCTACGTTCTCTTCTTCGGTAGTTAATACTTATTAAATATAATAAACAATTTAAAATCCTTTGTTTTTCTTTAGAACCGTTTGTATTTTTTTATTAATAGAAGTGCCTGTTAATTGACTAAACACTGCTGAAACATCTTGTATAATTTCAATACCTTCAGATAAGGAAATACATTGTTATAAAAAAACTTATAGTAATAATTCCTTTAGACCGTGACCTCCCCCGCTACACCAATATGTCTCGTCGTAACTATATAATAAGTATATAAACATATAATGTTGTATTTAAAGCAATTAACAATAAAAAAAAATACATAATGTTGTACATATGGTATTCTTAAAAAATAAAGGTTAAATAACAAAAATCACGTCAATTTTTTAATAGGTAAAATGACACTTTTTCTAAGTTTGCCAGTGGCGCTAGCGAGTCTTCCTACGCCACTGTGCCTCGACCCACTAAACTAGATTTTTTTTATTGTATTCAATGAGCAATCGACATCATATATCGGTTAGCCCGATTGGCTTCGTTGAAAATTGCGGCGAAATCGAAATTTCAAATTTAACCGCCGTACGCGGTTAACCTCAAAAATCCGTTTGCGGTCATATGTTCGGACGCCGGTCGGTCGTCCGGCGACAGCTGCTGCTGCTGTTACTGCTGTAGGCCGAACAACAATAATGCCGCCACCGGCAGTGTCCAACGTGGACAGGATTTGCGGCGAACGCCGGAATTTGAAAATCGAGAGAACCGGCGTTTTGCACAAAACATACAACACAAGTATACAATTATTCATTACTGCTTTGTGGTGTCACGTGGTTTTCTACTCCAAGACGACCTTTGCGGGCCGTCCAACGTGACGGCGCCGGCGATTGGCCGCCGGTGGCCAAGGCCCGTCGACTCGTCCAATGGGATGCCGCGATCCGTCGGCCGTCGCCGAGAACGGCTGACAGTCGCACCAACACACGCACCGCGGCAGACGGGCGGCGACTACGGAACGACCAAAAGGGCACACTCACGCAGACATTTCCCTACACACACACGACAACAACACCGCGGCCGCCGCCGATACGTACGGTTTATTTTTTTTTTTTCACATACCCGCATAATATAATATATATATATAACAGAAGTTTTTTTCCGCGCCACTCCGCCTCGCCTCGCGTTCTCTCCGTTCGTCCGCCAGCGCTTCGCACCTCACTTGCCCGTTCGCCGCACGCACACACACACACTCCGTTTCTCTCGTGCCGTTCTCTTGCAATGTTTCGTCCCGTGCAGAGTTTACACGTCTCGCGCACAAACGTCCCGTCCAACGACCGTCTACACGCCGCTGCCGACCGATTGTGATACGCCAGTCATGGAATGATAGTGCAAATCGTCGTACCGGACCACCGACGCCGCCGACATGGACAACACTACAACACAGGTACGTCGTGGTCGCCAAACGACGGGCAAACGGCCTGAGCGCGCCGGCGGACGGCCGTGTGGTTGTCGAAACGCCGCACACACGTGGTGTCCGTATTCGCGGCGCCGGCAGGCCCTTAACGATACGGGCCTGCCCGGAGCTCCTCCGGTTGCGTGCGCTCGACGAGCCCATGTTCGTTTTGTTTTCCCGGTCGGCCGCCGCGTATCGGTTTTCCCCGGACGGCGGCCGCTAACGGGGGGGACGAACATATGGCGTCCACACAGAAACCGGACGGTCGGTGCGTGGTCGAGCCGGACCCGGCGGCTGGCTTTTTGCAGTAACTTTGTCATTATTATTGTTGTTTTTGACTTTTTGAGGTTATGTATGTTGTGTATTATTGCGGTAGGGACGGTCCGTAATTGGATTGGTTACAAAAAAAGTAACAAATTCCTATGCGCTGATGTGTTTCATTCAAAGGGCACGCTGTGAAATGTCAAGAACATGTCACACCGGCCGTTTTCCATATCGTTACTGCCAACCCTTTGGCCATTACGCTCCCGTCATCAACGTACGTGCCTTTGGAAAATACGCTTTGACGTACGGTATTTTTTGTCCACTGTCTGTCGAGATGACTTGTTCAACGAGACGACGGATAACGTCGTTTTTTTTGGTTCCAACATTCCAAAATCCTATCACTGGCATTAGACGGCATACTTATCGCTTAAATATTTGAAAAAAACTTCATACCTGCTGATACAATATTTGGCTGGTCGTTTTGTGTCCTTGAGTTTTCTATTTACGTTAAATATTTGCCTATTTTATACCTGCTTAGCTATTTTAGACTCTACTTGCTAACATAATTAAATGTTTAACAATACAATAGGATTGTTGATTGATTGAAATATTAAGAAAAAAATACCTTTAAATGTATTTTAGTAATTTGTTGCTGGTTTTTAATAATTAGGTCTGTTATAATCCACATTTGAGTCAGCTGATAGTAATTGTAAATTTATTATTAGCGTTACAAAAGTGGTAAATAAAGTATTTACTCTTGTTGGTGTATCGTTTTGATACGACCAAATGGTAAAAGATTTTCAGACAGTCGTTCTTTGCTCAAACAAAATGAGAATGGACAGAATAATGAAAATAACATTATACATATTATTTTCCAACATTTGGTTATTTTTTACCAAAAACAAAACTATTGTAGATTATCGAGATCAGTTTTTATTTTTATTTATTCAATTAGATAGACAAACAATAATGACTCGTAATTGGCAGAGGGTACATAATTATAGTTATTTTATTAGGCGTCCAGCTTCAGTTATAGATTTATATGCGGAGGTAAACGTATTAATAAATAAAATGTTACTTGCCTAATTCTATTGTTTAGTTTTTTTTTTCTTAATAGAGATTAATCAATGTAAATGCATGAGTTATTTTTCCACATTTGAGTCAGCTATTTGTAATCAACTGCTTTACTTATGAGCGTTACAAAAGTGGTAAATTGAATAATCCTTTTGTTGGAGTTGCCGTTTTGATAATTCCGACAAGGAAATGATTTTCAGACAGTCGTCCTTTGCTCAAACAAAATGAGAATAGACAGAATAATGAAAATGACATTTTACATATTATTTTTCAACATTTATTTATTTTCTACCAAAAACAAAACTATTTAGATTATTGGGATCACTTTTTATTTTCATTTACTCAATGAGATAGATAAACAATAATGACTCGTAATTGGCAACTGGTACATAATTTTAGTTATGTTATTAGGCATCTAGCGCCAATTATAGATTTATACGCGGAGATGAACTTATTAATAAACAAAAAAGTGACTTTCCTAATTCTACCGATTGGTTTTTATTTCATAATAGAGATTAATCAATGCAAATCCATGAGTTATTTATTCCACATTTGAGTCAGCTATTCGTAATCAACTACTTTACTTATGAGCGTTACAAAAGTGATAAATTGATTAATCCTTTTGTTGGAGTTACCGTTTTGATAATTCCAAAAAGGAAACGATTTTCTGACAGTAGATTTTCACTGTGCTAAGAGTGATTTTCAGAATATAGAAAATTACACCGTAACTTCAGTTTTGTTGTTAACGTTTATTTTACAATCTGTATAAATCTATGTCATTATTTCTGTGAAGAAAAATGTTAATCAATTTCCGTTTCCAGGAGTTCGAGTTCCTAGACTTCACGGATATCAATGACATGGAACGGGGCCGATTGCTGCACTTGTTATATTCTGCCCGTAACGAGTGTTGGGTATCAGGACAAGACGGATCCAAACACCCCGATTTCCCGTGGACGTTTCGTGGTTCCCAGCAACAACAGGAACCGCTACCACCACCGGACGTCGTCAGCGAAGTGGGCAACATCACACATATATCCGATTGGAATACAGCGGCCGACGAATATGGTAAGGACCAGCCATGTGTTTTTAGATTTTCTGTTTTGACTTTGTGTTTGCTGCGTGTGTTGAACAGATAGTGGTCATCCGACAGTTAATGGTGATGCCGAAACCGACAACCAGGTGATAATGAATGGTGGAAATTTTGTACCCGGACCTCCGCAACCGGTCTACCAAATGGTGCCCAATCCTCCGGTATATATGGGCAACGTACCACCACCTTTACAGGGATATGTTCCTTCACCAATGTCACCGTACCAACAACCAATGTATCCAGGACCCGAACCACCTATGGATCCAAATCATAGACGGCCAAATGTGTCCAGGAACGGCAAGGGCATTCCTCCTCCACCCAATGTCAAACGGAACAATGATATGGGATATCGGCACCCAGAAAACATAGAAATGGCCAACTATCAGTCGCCGCCGACGTACATCGCCGTGCCGCAACCTCATCATTATTATTATTCACAAAACAGTCCTCTGTATTTGCCACATCATGGGCACCCGACTTATCCGATGTACACTCACCCGCATCCAGGCATGTACAATCCGTATCCGCCACCGCCAGGTCCGCCCATGTTTCACTCCCCTCCCGGCGGTCAAGTACCTCAACAACCGCTTCTAGTCGAATCGTGCAAATCCAACGTGAACCCGATACCGCCGTCTGTACATAATATATACCCTCAAGTACCGGAAAACGTTGTCGACGAAACGACGGTGGATTCTCAAGTGTTGTCTTCAGTACCGCCCCCACCACCTCAAAATGAAGAGATAATCATCAGCCAACAATTAGATCATATTAAAATCCCAGACAATTTAGACACCAAACAGCCTGTGGTAGAACCTCTTGAGGAAGTTCAACACAATATTGTCGTTAAAGAACCGGCTGCCGACGTAGAAATAACAACTGTCGCTGACGCAACGACTGAAAAAGTCAAAGACCTTCCAGCGTCTACTAAAAACAAAAAGAAGAAAGAGCCAACAACTAACGGCCCGTCAAACTTGGTTCAAGAAAGTCAAAAAGAAGCCAAAAAAATTGAAGAATGTTGTCCGGTTGTTGCGATCAAAGAAGAAACAGAAGCCAATCAAAACAAGGTTACCTCTTCAGTTCCTGTTCCTTTGGACAAACCCGAAGTCGTTGAAACCGAGCCCGTCAAACCGGTGGCTAAGACGTGGGCAGGACTCTTTTCCGGTTCCCCAAATACAAGCAACAATAAAGTTTTTACATTGCATGGCAGTAGCCAGCCGGCCGCTGCCGCCAGTAACACGGAAAATATTGTGATGCCGACAAGGAGTGTACCCGACAATCCAACTACAATTAGGTCTTCAGTATTTGTTGCGCAGGCCAATCAAAAATCGACACAACCTAAGCCCAGGCCTTCAAGCAGCAATTCTTTGTCTAGTATCGACGACAACTCATCGCACATACAGAGATTAGGTGGTAAGTTGTTGTCTTCACGTTAGTTAGTGAGATTAATAATATTTGACAATCTCGTTTCTTAACATTTCATGTAGAATTTCTATCCGTTTACAATTTGGATCACAAGACTGTTCATCTACAACCTCGCGGCCTCATTAATCGCAACACGCGTTGCTATATAAATGCAACGCTTCAAGCATTGTTAACCTGTCCCCCGTTTTTCAATCTCATGAAAAGCGTTCAGTTTAAATTGAAGAATAGAAATAGTCGCTTATCTCAAAAGTCATCCACGCCAATTCTAGAAAGCATGTGAGTTGTCGTCAGATTTGACGTTTTCATATCTACTAAATTTTAACTTGCAACATTAAAAATAGCTATTAGTCAAATTTGATTTAAACATTTCTAATCATCCGTTATGCATGACAGTGTTCAATTTGTTGGAGAATTCCAACAATTAAGTATTAAAAACGGCAGAACTACCCAACAACAACGACAAGCTACTTCGGTAGCCACTCATGAAACACCCGATGTTGGATCGGCATTCGAACCTAGCTATGTCTACAAAATACTTCCAGCTTTCGAAGAAGGCCGTCAAGAAGACGCCGAAGAATTTATGAGTTATCTTCTCAACGGCATTAATGACGAAATGATAGACGTAAGTTTTTTTTCCCGTTCTCTTTAGAATAACTTATTGACTAAAATTTTACTTATAGCTTATCAAATTGAGCAAATCTAATATAAGCAACGGAGAAACGTTTTCCGAAGCCGAGAGCGTTGACAACAATAATGAATGGAAAGTGAGTGGAAAAAAAATATATTCGTGTCGAGATTTTATAGTATAACATTGTTTTATCGTCAACCCCCTTAGGAAGTCAACGGAAAACACAAAATGGTGACCAGGCGAACAGTGCTAGAAAAAACGCCCTTGTCAGAAATATTTCGCGGACAATTGCGTACGCGTACCGTGAAAAACGGCGAAAGCGAACCGACTGAAAATATAGAGCCTTTCTTCACGCTTAAACTAGACATTGAAGTAATATTCAAATGATTATAAAATTAATAATTTTTTTCATACTAAATACCATTTTACAGAAAGCGAAATCTGTACGCGAAGCATTGGACATGCTCGTCACTAAAGACACTCTCGAAGGGTTCACTTGTCCCAAGACCAACCGCGAAGTGGACGCTTACCAACAGGTCACTATTGACGAACTGCCGTATGTTTTGTTGTTGCATCTGAAATGTTTTGAATACAAACAACAGAAAATGACAAAAATTGTGAAAAACGTAGAGTTCTCGGTCGATCTCAAAATCGAACCAAGTAAGTGATCATATCTGTTTTCTCAGTTAAACTCCATTGTTTTTTCTAATCGAATCTGTCCGGTTGATATGATTTGGCAAAAAATATTGGGTATATTAAGTTGACTCCTAAGAGTAGCGTTCAGAAACATTCGCTGTTCGAACGCTTAGTGTCGAGTCGTACAATTTATATTCCGTTAAAAATTAGTTTACATGTTAGTTGTTGTCGAAACTAACTATTTAACGCTAAATTCTAGCAGTTCTATAAATGTATTAAGTAGTATGTTTTTCTCTAATTTTATTTTATTTACAGAACTGATTTCAAAGAACTCTAAGAATAGTATGAAGACCCGTCAATATAAACTTTTCGCAGGTACGAATACATTATTTGTCGTTAATTAGATTTAATTATTATTTTGTATGTGATGTGACCATTTCCATATTTTAGTATAATTTTTAATTTATTAGTTAAATTTTTCATTGCTATTAGTTTTACTTAGAAGTAGTTCAGTTTGGGTTTGTCACATCAATAAATGATGTCTTAGTATTAAAATAACTATTAAAAACCCCATTTTATTTAAGCCGGCCCATATAATGTACCTTGTTATGTGGGTGTGCAATAAATGGGTATATTATCATGAGCTGATGTGTATTGAATATTTTCAACAATGAATTATCCAAAAGGGGATGCTAATACATTTTTTTTAAGTGTACTTTTAAGTTTATTGATTGTCAATTGGAAGAAAGACAACATTATTTTGTATAGGTAAGCCTAAATTAGAATATTTTGTTTTGTAAGCTATCGGTAAATTTTTCGTTTTTCTTAATTACCCCGTTTTATTTAAGCCGGCTTATATGACTTACTTTGTTATGTGGGTGTGCAAAGAACGGGTATATTATTTTCAGCTGATGTGTATTGAATATTTTCAACAATGAATTATCCAAAAGGGGATGCTAATACATTTTTTTAAATTTTATTGTTATAAGTAAGAAAGATGTGGAAGAAGAAGTTAGTTGTCACGTCTTTTTTAGAATTAATTATTTAAAAATCACCCATACAAGTATATGGCAAATTTTGTCATAGTTATCTTATGATAATTGTCGTAAAAAAGACTGACGATTAAAAAGCAATCTGCATAGCAGAGTTCTTACAGTAAACATCTATTAACAACCCCATTTTATTTAAGCCGGCCTGTATAATATATCTTGTTATGTGGGTGTGCAAAGAATGGGTATACTATCTTGAGCTGATGTGTATTGAATATTTCAACGATGAATTATTTAAAAGGGGATGCTAGTACATTTTTGTAATATATTTAAAAAGTTTATGGTTGTCATTCATAAGAAAGATGTTTTTTTGTAAAGGCGGACCAAAAGTCATTTTTGTAATTTAACATTAAATTTATACTATAAGAACAAATCATGTAACGGACAAAATATACTTTTGCAACTTGGATGATGTTTTGATGTTGGTCGATTAGAGCAGTACAACTTGCAAAGAAATCATTAAATGAAAAACAATCATCTTGACTACCCCGTTTTATTTAAGCCGGCCCGTATAACGTACCTTGTTATGCAGGTGTGCAAAAAACGGGTATATTACTTCAGCTGATGTGTATTGAATATTTTCAACAATGAATTATTCAAAAGGGGATGCTAGTACATTTTTTAAAAGTTTATGATTGTCTATCGTAAGAAAGACAACATTATATTAAACAAAATAATTTTTTTGTAAACTATCGGTAAATTTATCGTCTTTCTTAACTACCCCATTTTATTTAAGCCGGCTCATATGATTTACTTTATTATGTGGGTGTGCAAGGAACGGGTATATTATTTTCAGCTGATGTGTATTGAATATTTTCAACGATGAATTATTCAAAAGGGGATGCTAGTACATTTTTGTTTTAAATTATTTTGAAAACTTCTTCGCCTTGATATTATTTTGAACAGACTTTTGTAAATTATCTTTAGATTAATTCACAGATTTGTTCTTAATCTAATATTTATAGTTATCAACTGCGTCTTTGAAAATATAGTCTTGTAATAAGATCCATCCTTTTTAGATGCATTTAGATTTTTCTATAGATTAAATGCAAAACCATATAGATAAATACTAAATTTTTTTTTTTTTTTTTTACAAGACTAAAAATCTTTAACTTCTAAGAACCGATTTATAATTTTATGTAATTTTTTATTTTGTTTTTCCAGTGGTTTACCATGACGGAAAAGAAGCAACTAAGGGTCACTATTTTGCCGACGTGTTCTATGTGGCGCTTGGTCGATGGTTGCGATTCGACGACGCGTCTGTTCGCTTCGTCACCGACAAAGAAGTATACCAACCCAAGCCGCCGTGCATGCCTTACTTGCTGTACTACAGAAGAAACGACACTATTGCTGCACTATCCGCGTTTGACAACAAAAGCCGATAGAATGTGTACTCTATTGTATACATGATATAAATATGTGGTATGTATTTTTTTTTCCTACGTATAACTAGAGTGAATACATTTAATTGAATATTTTTTTTATACTTATTCATTTATCTTTTTTTTCTAGATATATAAAGATTCAAGTTTCGAAAAATCCCTAGTGAGATAATATTAGATCATTAGACATTTTTTTTTGTTTTTTTTTTTTTTTTAGTCATTGGCCTCCCTAGACTCCGGGTAGTGTTTTATTTATATATTTTTTTTCTCTCTTTACATGGAAGTAAACACAGGGTTATTTTACATAATATATATATATATTTTTTATTTATTATTATAAAAAAAAAAAAAACAAAAAAAATATATATAATAAAGTAATAATTAATGTTTAAAAATAATATGATATTTATATTTATAATAATCGTGTATTGTCCTTCGTTGACAATTTTTTATTTGTTTGTTTTTTTTTCTTTTTAAAAGTACTGTCAAATTTATTTTTTAAGGTTTATAATATTATAACAATATATATGTATATATATATATTTATAAAAATATGGAAACGTGTTTAAGAAGGGCGTGTTAATAATAAACGGTTAGGCATAATGTGTAATTTCTTTCTAGTTTTTTTTCTCGTCCGTGAACGACATGTTTTGTAAAATATATTTATATATATATATACACATATATGTACGGAAATGATAATGATACGAGACTAAAATTATTATATATATATTTTTTTTAATAACTCATTTATTTGTTAATATCAATTCATTTTTTTTTCTCTGTAAAGTATTAAAAAAAAAATATTACGTTTGTGTACATAAACAAAAAATTGTAATTGTAAAGTATATATAGTATATATTATCTTAGAAATTATTATCGAGTCATGGTTGATTTTTATAATAAGGAGTAATAATTAAATAATACAAAATCAATGTGTATAATTATTAATAACCAAAGTGAAAATTTGAAACAATAATTTAAAAAAAACAAATTGATTTTTAAAAAAATCTCCCACCCTCCCTGCCTTTTTCTAAAATTAATTTTTTGCTTTTTTTTCTATGTTATTGAATAAATATATATATATATACTATTTACGCTCATTTCGGATGCACTTTTTTTTATGAAGAAGCTAACAGTTCCAACCCAAAATGTATTGTTTTATTTTCTTTTTTTTTCTATTAATGTTTATACATACATTTTTTTATTGAGTATCTTTATGGATGTTTTTTGCAACTAAAGTAATATATTATTTTATATAATATATTGAAATTATATATATTACCACCACCTATACACACATGTAAACGTCATTTATAATTTTTTTTTTATTATTATCATTACACAGCTATAACTATAAATTATGTTTATAGGGGTTTTTTTTTTTCTTTACACCTATCTTCCTCTTTCTTATAGACAATGGAAATAATATCCCTTTTCTGCTTCATTTTTTTTTTCTTATTTATTATAAGGACAAAGTACAAAATGTGTACTGTTGTCGGCAATGAAACTATTATATTAAAACGATTGTTATTATTATAACATACTGAAATGACAATTTTAAACTTGGAACTGATCAGACAACATTGTGCAGGCGACTCGCAAACATAGTTTTTATTTAACATTTTAACTTGGCTTTTTTTTTATTGCTACTTAATTTTTCCGGTATGGTTTACTGATTAAAAAAGTATCACCTGAATTCATTTTTCATGAATCACATCTTGGTTCAGACTTTAATCTGGTATAACATTTAGTCATTGCTACAACAAGCATTTCTAACAATTAAAAAAATAATTTAAATATTTTTCCTTAACAATAATATCACAAATGTTTCTTTTTCTGTTGCAAAATAAATAAAAAAACATAAATTATAAGAAGCTGTATTACACTGAATGTCACTGATGGATTCTGAAATTTATCGGTAGTATATAGGGTCACATCCATGTGGAATATTATAATTTCTTAACCATTCACCATATCACCGCGTTTGATCATACCTAGATCAAATTTTGTTTGATTGTTGAATTTTTTTGGAAGATTAAACATTTAAATAACCCTTTAAATGTGTTAGTGGCCTTTATGGTTCGGAAATTATCCATACTGTGACATATATGCAGACCACGACGTCTTGTAAAAATACCCTAAATGGGCAGAACTATTTTTTTCACTAAAACGTTCATTTAGAATACTATTGCCTTTCTACTAGTTATTTGTAACATTTTTGTTTAAGGCAACATCAATGTTACTTTAAAATATAAGTCCTGTAGATGGTGGCTGAAATAGATGCCACCAAACTTTAAAGGGCTTTATGAATTTTCCTTGACTTGTTATTGATTATGTACTTATTTTATACCTACATAATTGTGAAGTGTCTATGTATTATTAAATAAAATTCAATCTCAATCGTTGAATGAAAATTACTCTACTTGGCATACATTTCAGAGAAAATGAGTTTCTTAAGTTAGATGGTCACCCACATTTTTGGGACCTAAATAGAGTTAAACTGTTAAAAACTACAGAATATAACGATTTATAGACAGACAGAAGGGGTATAGGGTGTCTGACGCGAATTGTTATGAATTATGACTAGAAAAATAATAAATCTCCAAAAATGAGTATACAATAATAATGTTAAGTGTAAATTAAATTTATTTATAGTAATTATATTTTATATTTTTGACTACTTAATAACATTTTCTATAATTCTTAAATAGTGAAATTAAACAGTTTTTAGACCAATATTATCTAATGTAATAAAATGTGTTTGGTATTATTTGTGATTTCATTATTTGCAAATTAATTAATTTCTATTTAACTATAATATTAATTATTATTCTGTGTGCTAGTATTTGATTGGTCCAAGGAGCTTATTATACAAGTTCACTTTTATTTATCACTAAAAAATGGGGAATGGGAATGAAAGTCATAAATAATTAATTTCGTTTGTTCATATTTTCTATAATATTTTTGTTTAGTTATTGATAAATGACTTTCATTATTAATATTATAAGGTTGAGATTAATTGCTTTCGTTGTTTTTCTTATATAAGAGTAATTGACAAACGGACAATTGACCAAACAAAACACATTATTGTAAAACCAATACATCTCAGCTCTACAGCAGCTAGATATTTAGTAAATATTAGTGCACTTAATTCCACATTACACCACGTTTATAGACATAAATATGTCAGTTTAGAAAAAACTAAACAAAATGGGTTATTGTCTCAGTTTACTTTTTCATAGCTAAAATTTATATAATTAAATTATAATATATATATTTTAAATAAATCAACAGTATTAACTTATTATTGTTTATAACTTCTGAACGATTAACTACATTTTAACAAAACCTTTTATTGGAATTATTTATTCTAATAACTTATTTAAAAAAAAGTACTTAGCTTCAACATTATATTATTTTTATATGAAAATATTAGTTCTAATTTAAATATAAATTCATCTAAATAAAACGTATTGAAATATTATCTGAATAAAAAATATATATTTTAAATAAATTGGTATCAAATACATTTTTATTGCCTGTCGAGTATTTGTTTCATTTTTTGAAAATTTTTTCCAATTTTATTACATTTTATAGTTCAAAATGTAATTATAGTTTATCTCATTTAAATACATTTTTTACTGGACTTATGCAATTAATGAATATTAATTATAGCTTTTTTACATTTTTATTTTAAAAAACTAATTACTCACGACTCGGAGTTCCGAGAGGGCCACTTTATACGGCACGATTGTTTCATCAATTATTTAGTGTCGCATACATAAAACTATGCCGACAACTATACCAAACCAATCTGGTATCGTCTTTTGAAAAGAGCAACAACTCGACCTATCTCAGCGTAGTCTTCTAAACGACAACACAATATGACGAGATAAAATAAAAATACAAAAATACAAACATTTATTTTTATTTTTAAACTGACTCGTTAGTAGTTTTATATAAGAAAAAACACTATAACAAAAAAAAAAAAATTGTTTCCCTTATAATAAAATCTTAACTTAAGCGCGCGCAGTGTGTCAATCAATAACGATTAATTATATTTATATTACAAATAAAATATATATATAAATATGATTTGATATTCGTTCGTAGAGAATGAAATGCCAATTAGTAATATAAAATTAAAATTACAAAATTACATTACTTAAGTTTACTTCTTGAGTTTATCACTTGTTTACTCGAAACGCATTATTTGCATTTCTAACCGATCTTAATCAAAAAATATTTTATTTATTTATACAAGAATATAGGTGATAATAATACTTCTAAAAATATTATTACGGCTAGTTCTACTTATATTTCTACAAAAGATTTAACTTTGATTAAAAATTAAAAATAATTCCTTAATTTTAAGTCCTAAAAAAAATTACATTTAACATACGCGGCACGAAATAGAATTTAATATTATCGAACAAAAAAAACTTATTTCTATCAAAATACAGTTGACGAAGATAAAAAAAAAAAATTTAACAATTTTTTTTACTACAATATTTTTTGTTTTCATGTAACTCAAAATTTAAAATTTAAAGTATAATATTCATTCATAGAAAATACTGAATGAAAAATGAAAGTTTCTGAAACTGTATACATTTTATTTTTTTAAATACCTTACCGAAGTGCTTAAATTATAAACACGACGGCAGCGGTAAGAAAATAATAAATATATATATATATATATGTATGTTTAAAATAATAATTATTGATTAATAAGCGATGATCTTATTGTTTCTTTTAAAAATTTTTAAAATAAAATTTGGTATATTTGAAAAAAAAATTGGTCATTCGTATTAAGTTATTTTCGATTGGTCAAAAAAAAAAAAACTTATGAAAGTGTTCGAATGAATGGTAGTTAAGTCTTGATGGTAAATAAAATTTTTTTTAAAAAATAGTCATAATAGTTGTTTTAGTGTAGAAAAATTAGTGCTTCAACCGATCGATAAATAAAATATGTACCCTTTGGGTTAAAATACGGAAATTTTTTCAAATGGAAAAAAAAAAATTGTTATGACAATGAATGAGAAAATAAAATTAACGCAATAACAGTCGAGGCGAAAATTAAAATAATCTTAATAACCATTTAACAGCGAATGAGAAACGACCAATCTAAGCTGATGCGTACAAAGGATCGTGCTCAGTTATCGCCGCCGGTTCAATGAAGATTTGGCGAACGCTGTCATTTGGCATGTAGGTGCCGAATCCATATTTAACCAGCTCATCGTTTACGGAGATTGTCTGGAAATAGAAAAAAAAACAAATTAAGAAACATATTTGAAATTGACATTGTCAAATAATGCTTACCACTAAACCGTCGTACGCAAGTAAGTTAACATATTGTATACTATCAGACTTGTAAATGACTTGGGCGAACAGCATTTTTCCGGTCGTCAAAGCTTCAAACACCTTCAGCGATTCTTCGCACCATTTTCCGTACGCTGTAAAAAAAATTACAAATTAGATCATCAATTGGCAAATGGTGACCATTTGGAAAAACAGTCGAAGAAGTGTATTATTTACTCGGAGCGACATTGGCCAGACTACATTCGATTGCTTGGAAACTTAACGATACCAATGTGTCGTGCATGGGTCGCATGTCGCATTGGTCAATTTTCTTGCAGCCGCCATAATCCAAAAAGAACACGTTGGCCGATTCGTATTTCTTTTCGTCAACGTCTATCACTTGAGCGCGGTACCAGTTTCCTTCGCTGTACGTGGCCACAACGGAACCTGTAATACACCAGATACAACGTTAGACGATCACGACAATGATGTTGGCCGACTGAGCCACATCAACATACCGTGGGTGACTGTGCGCAAGTCCACTTCTGGGATGTCTTCTTTGTTGGCAGCGAACATGTCATTCATTGCAAAATTTAACGCCGACAGCAAAGCATAATCCGGGGTGGAAGCGTTGTGCACGAAGAAATGGTCAGGTGCAACCACATCGGTAATAATCACAATGTTGTTGACTCCTTCGATTAGTTCAGACTGTAGAAAAAAAAAATGTAATGTTAAAAATGACATTATGAGGATTATGATGACGAAAATCGCCGTGGCCACATTTACTTTGTACAATTGCGAAATAACGGGAGTACCGCCATCCATCATCATCGGAGTAATGCACTCCAATGTTAACTCTGGGAACGTTTTTTCTGGGAACTTTGCTCTTATCAACTTAAGCGCTTTCCTTATATTAATTTCAGATCCTAATAAAAAAAAGACATGATAATAAACGTGTTTTTAATAATAAATTGTTGACTGACTAACCTATCAGAGTGCACATCTTAAACTTGTCTTCAGGACTCTCGGTCTTGTTTTCAACAAAAAGTCTTACGTTACTCTTTTCCTTAATGTACTTGACAAAAGCTCCTTTTTTGCCGATAATGGGACCAACCAAGTCAATGGGAACCATAAAATCAAAACTCATTTGCTCGTCAGCATCGGATATCGTATGCAATTCACCTGAATACGAGCTGCCACCTTTCCCGCTGTCTTGCGAACCCTGTCAGCAAAATAATATAAAATAAACAATAGTTTATTAACCAATTAAAATAAAAAAAATAATAATAAGGGGAAGGAAAAGAATATTTAACATACCACGCTCCTGATATCCGAATATATCGTATTGGGCGCGTCATTTGTGTCAATGCTGTGGTCTACACTATGAGCTGAATCACAATCCTCTTCCACTATTTGATGGGTTTTTTTGGTGGCGGCAGTAGGCTTAACACTGTTGCCTATGCTACTAGTTTTGCCCACCTTGTGGTGAGATTCGGTGGGCAGAAGCTTTACCACGGTATCTTTCACCGGTTTCTTCTTGCGATTTCTCTTTTTTTTCCCTTTGAACTGGATACCTTCAAACAACATGGGTTGTTCATCTTTCTTTCCCTTTTTGGTCGTTACAGCAGCAACGGCGGCTTTCGGACATTCACAACGATCTTCTTCTTCTTTTTCAATCATCTCCACCCAACATTCTTTCTGTTGTTCACTAGTTTTCATTGCTTCGACAACAGGTGACGAAACACTCTGTTCTAAAGCTAAACGTTCTTCTAGCGGTGTTGGTAATTTATCATCCGAATCTAGATTTAAATTTAAATTACTCAAGTCCTCGGCTAAGGACTCCACTGTCATTTTACTAAGTCCGGAGTTAGAATCTACGGGCATAACCTTAGTGTCCAACTCAAGTTTCGATGGACTACTACAGCAGTTTACTAACGTTTCCACTTCCTTGATTTCCACTTGACTGATGGTTGGCTCCATGATTTCTTCTTGGTGAGCCGACGACCAGGAGTCTCCTCCTCCAACGGCAGCAGACTCTTCTTCGGTGATGCGTGACGCTACTTCAATTGTACGAGAGGCTTTTTCCAATGCCTTTATCAATTCTTGGTCGTTGATTTTGTTTAGCTCTGGCGATTCAGAACTAGATTTGTTGCCGTCACTCAGGTGATGTGACAAAACCCTCTTGCGCTTGTACCAAAGATAACCGAGGTATAAGACGGCTGTCGAAAATGTTAAAATTCTCCCCAGCGATACAGTCCTCACCTTGAACATATCGTATGATATCCACTTTGACACGAGTGTAAAACCTATGGCAAAAAGAAAAAACAGAAATTAATATGTATAAATAGTAATGCTATATAATCTGAAGGCAATAATATCAATGAAATTTCATGCAAATAACAATGTATATTCATTCTATACAGTACTTGTTCACCGGGAACACGTTTAGTCACAAAAAATTTAAATACCTACATCCAGTACCCAGTTAAAACAGTAAAACATGGCAGAAATGTCATGGGCCATCTGGCGACCGAACTAGGCTCGAAAAGAGCCTACTCTCGGTGAAAATATGCCATACGCTAATAATAATAATTGTAAAACATTTATTTTTAAATTTAGTCAAAAATAGAATGAATCATTTGGACGAAAGTGCTAACTCAATGATAGAAACAAATAAACGATTTTGTTTAACACCAAAAATATATAACTGGAAAAATGGAGAACATTATTCCCGAACGAGTCTTGAATTTTTTTTTTTAATAACTTTTTGCTGAAAAATATTTCTGGTTTTCGACAACCAATCATGTGTCTTATTAGGTCTACAAGGAATGTACACATGCTTGTTATTTTTTTTTTTTAACCAAAGGCCCAAAGAAACTTTTGGAATTATCTACAGATTTTCCCATGATTTTAATTTCACAGGAAGTAGTTATTTTATTCATTAATTTTTTTTTTTTTATTTTAACTTTATTTAAATTTCTTTTCTTGAACGGACGTTACAAATAATTATATTCACACACACAATTAAAAGGTGCAAATCGCAGGCGATTGCTGACACGGCCACGGCATCAAAAACTATTATTTACATCCGCCAATTGCGCGTTATTATTATTATTATTTCGCAGTTGTTTGAAGATATATTGCAGTTAAAAAAAAAAAACGATCAGCAAGTTTATTTAATACGACCGAAAAATAAGCTTTTTCACCGCAGTCCCTACTCGAATTACAACACACCATATACATGTCAACAACATTTATAATTGGAAAAAAAAATTAACAATAATAATTATTCCACGTAGTTTCGCATTAGAGGCAAACGACCGCTCTATATAAAATGAGTATATATAATATATTTTTATTATTAATCGTCGTCCGCGCGCATAACCCGACAAGCGGTTTTTCTCCTTTTTATTTCCTCCCAGTCGGTCTCTTTTTTTTTTATATACACCAAGTAGAGTGTTGTGATTTGTGATATATATGTATGTGTAACATTTTTAAAATTTTTTTTTTTTGCTCACATTCACTTGATATCTTTGTGTGTGTAGAACTACCGAGAACTCCGTTCCCTCCCCGAGGGGCCGGAGCGCGCGTTTGTCTGTGGCGGAGAAAGAAGAAAAATATAATACCTGTTGAGCGCGCGCATACCTGATAGTTTTTTTTCTCCGTGTACCTGTAGTACATTATATTATCACGGATACGTGGTCTTTCTATAAAGGTATATTATATACATATATATATATATATATATATGGAAACAGGTTTGGCCGGTTACCGGTCCAATAAACCCCGTGTACGTACATACACCATGGCCCTTCGCTTCGTTTGTCTCGCATAATATCGACTATAATACAATACGATATTGTATTCGATGCCAGATTATATCCAGAACAATAATACATTATGAATAGATCACCGTCGAAAAAATAACACCGGTGCGCACCACCTCATCTTTCACGACCTCGTGGACGGCGGAAACACGTGGACAAATATTTAAAAAATCCTAACCCCCAACCCCAGCAGTGTTGCCAACAAAAATACCTTAAAAATTACAGCTGTTCCAAAAAAACGCTATATTATGCTAGGTTAATAAAATATTACATTAATTTAGTAGTAATTAAATAAAAGAAAAATGCCGTTTTTTTGTTATCATGAGAAAACAATGTGATAATAGCAAACGGTCAGTGTTGCCAAGCTCATGTCGGAATGTCATCGAGTTAACCTTTTATTTCTTTCCATTTTTAAGTTAACATTACATTTATTAAACACGATGACTTTATTATTCATTCAACGTTTATTACCTCCAATTCGTCATAATGTAGTACCCATAAGATATTTTTTTATTCAGATGGTACATATATTGATAAAATGTATTGTCAACCTTAATTTTCGCCTTTTGTTGACCGCAGTCGAAAAAATAAGTAGTCTAGTCACTGGTTATGATTTAATTACAAATCTAGCTGATAGGCAGCTTCGAGCGGAAGAAACAACAGATTAGTCAGGTCCGGTGATACACATAATATTAGAAATAGTAATACTACGTCATATGATAGAGGGGAATATTTGCGACAGAGCCAAATAATGATGTACATAATATCGTCAAGTAGGCGAAATCATAAAATAATAAATTAAGTTCAATTAATTTGTGATTGCTGATATAAAACTATAAAAATGCTAAGAATATTTTTATAGCCACGCGCGATATGAAATTTTCGGTAGCTGAATGCCAAATTCAATATAAAATAGCTTGGAAACTGCACCGGCCGGAAATGTCTGCCTGCGGTTCCGGTTGATAAAAATCACCACTTAGCACGTGGTTTTATAAACGTCCGAACTCACGTTATAGCTTCCCAATAACCTAAAAAATAATACAAATAAAATATTATTGTAGTCAGAAAAAACGGTACTTTATACACAAGACGGACTTTAACCCTGGTGTGTTTTTTTATCGAAGCTTTACCCAAAAAACCAGGGGAGAAAAAAATTGCAAAAAAAAATCTACATAAACTATTCATCATCGGTGTGCACACTAAAAAGGTTCATAAAGTTCATCACGGATAGATAAAAAAATTATATATCTATCAAATTCAAGCAATTATAATAAAAACACGCACTAGAGCTAACAAAAACTGACGATTTAGAAAACATTTTTTCTTAAATTTTAAGATTTAGGAAATATTAAATGTATTGCACTATTTTATTACTTCTGGCAAAATGTGTTCTGAAATGATTACAATGAGAGTTTATGTTTTAGGTAGAAAATAAGGTACAATTCGATAAAACTGAAAAATATACAGGTTTTTTTACTAAATGGAAAATTAATGACAAATAGGTAAACAAAAACGTTGCTTTCGAGGAAATCCTTCAGTTTTTTTATTTTATTTTACATAATAATAATAATTGTAGGTGGAAAACAGTAATTATTATTTTTTTTTAAACATGTGGCGTTCGTGTCGGTCGGTTTTTCTCGACCAAGGCTGTCGTTCAGTTGTACGATAAATAATAACTAATATATAGTAAAAAGTCAATAAAAAGATTGTTTTTACGGTTTTACACACACACAAGCGTGACCTAAAAAACAACCGGGACAGGTTGTTAATTATTTATCATCGTCGGTGGCGTAAAAAAACCTAGTAAATTACTTATATTTTATACATGATGTATCATATTTGCAATAACTATAATTGTTGTTTTGTAGTTCAAAAACTAACAACGACATAACGCGCAAATGCATTTGCCTACCTGTTGATTAGGAACAATCAACAGGTAGATACACACACCCACACACTCATTATTTATCAACATTCGACAAATAACGGTTCCCCTTGTAAAAAAATTGAATTTACACAATTGTAAAACACCAAAAAAAATTTTTTTTTTATGGTTCTTATTACACTAGAGCGTTTTCTAAACAACGGTGATTTAACGATGGCAATAATAATAATTCAAATTAGAAAGGTAATTGGATCAAAAACGACAGATCGGCCACCGGTTTGTCAACATTCGAATGACGATTTACAATTATTTATCGCAAAACTATAAGAATAAAAAAAAAAAATGGTCGAAAATTATTTAATTTCAGTTTAGAATTTGACAATTTAACATAAAAAAAGATACTCCAATCAATTCATATAAGTTATAAGATACGTTACGTAAGTATCGATACGTTGAAGAATATCATTAATGTATTAAAATCATTTAGATATATTTACATTATTCAAATTTAATTAGTATTTCATCATTTACGTACGTTATATATATATATATGGCGGGGAAAATTTTCAAAAAATGTGTTATTGTATCAATAGGCAACACTAACATTTTTTAAAAAGTTATTTTGGGAAACAAAAATGTACATACCTAATTCTTGACTTAAAATTACTGTGCTCTATAACTTTTTTTAAAAAAGTCAAATTAGTTTTAATTTGATATGGAATATTCATTTGACTTGTAACACTATCGCCATACCACAACAAACCAAATAAATATTATAAACCATTTCCCCCGGAAAAGGTGGGAACTTTTCTTAAATTCGCTATTTAGGTGTAGTTTAAGGGCTGAAAATTAGACTCGAATGGAGCTAGGTATACCATAAATAATTTTCGCGAACATCTGTATTAAAACTTTTTCTTTATTAAGGAAAATACCAAAACAATAAGGGAAAAAAATATGATTTGACCGTATTTAATTTCTAGTTTTCTCTTTTGAATTAATTATTGTTCACGTCTAATTATTATACGCCTGGATACAACATACATTTGGTTAGAAAAATCATGTATAAAAAAAACCCTTTATATATATATGTATGCTCAAGAGTCAGCAGAGAAAATGGTTTACCCAAAAACCAGTAAAAAAATAATAGATTAGTACTTTTTTCTTTTTATTGTTATCTGTCAACACATTCGTTATACTACATATATTTTACGCCAAGGTGCGCGGTTGTTGTAAGCGCCTTCGATTATAATGAAAATAATAAGAATACTAGTATTTTAAACACGCCTTTGGACCATTAGGTTTTTACCACGATGGTTACGCCAGTTCGTAGTAATATTTATTATTACGGTGGGCATGTGAATATTGTTATTATTATTGTTATAATATGACTGAAGATTCCCCCGGCCTATCTCTCCGGTATGTATAAAATATTACAATATATACCTATCAGCCGCTGCGTACATGCTTCGTCGTTGTTGTCGTCTAAAATTAAACCTACAGATAACGACCTGCGGGTAAAATTTCCAAAACTATCCGACGACACGGTTCTTGACCCCGACAGAGTGCTGGGCTTTCAGTGGTTTTTTCATACATATATATACACATGTATGTACTGTTAAAATTTATCGGTTACTTAAGATTTTTTTTTTCATATTTTTTCTTTAAAATACTAATTATTTAGTAAATAATACCCCATACAAAAAAACCAACGAAACTCTTTAAACGGTGTGTGTGGGTTTTTTTTAAAGGTTATGTCGGTACGGCGAGAATTTGCGCGGCGACACGCCGCCTTCTCCTCCTCTTCCCGTACATGGAGGAACACTTGAACACACACACATGCCGTATATATAACACGTTAAACGACAGCGTGGCACGGAGAGTTATCGGCGGCGGCGGCGGCCGAGGCGAACTGCAACGTTGTACGTTCCTTTTTTTTCAGCGGACGGGGAAATTTTCCATTATTATTACCATTATTTAATTTACTTTGTAGATGTAGTAAAAAAAAAAAATCACAACGATTATATTTTCCGTGAAAAATATGTCGTGTATCGAATCGCCGACGACGACTACACTTCAGGAGAGATTCGCCACGCCGCAACGGAGGCGGCGGAAGCTACGACAAAAACCACGTTGTGCCGCGCGACCGATATACTACACGTGTGGCTGAAGAAAAACGCGTGCGCGGCGTACAATTAATAAATAAATAAATAAATAACAAACCTTGTCCACGTTGTCCGGCGCCATCGTAATATTACAGTGTAGTACTAGGAAAAAGACGTCGAATATTATAATATATATATAAATAATTAAAAATATATATTAATACACGAAATCGTTATTAAAAGTAAAACTTTTTGCTTTTTTTTTTATGTACACCGAAACGTGCACAAAACGATTTCTTCAAAGTACTACTGGCGTTTTCAAATACGAGCACCGACCGTTATTGTCGTGAATGGCTAAGTTGTTAATAAAATTAAAATTATTGTAAACGGATTATACAATGTTTAATAAAAATAAAAATAAAACGAGAAAACCACAGACACACACGAGACTATACCGGGAACGGACAACGAGAAAGTAAGCAACAGTAGTGCCAGCAAACGTGACGAGACTGCGGCGCGACGGTGTGTGCCGACTGCGTGCCGTTGGCCGGCCGCCGTAGAACGCGGCGCGCATAAGAGACGGCGGGGCGGGCGGGGGTAGCGACATTTGCCGGTTACCGTGAGACACCGGCCGGTCTGTCGGAGGGTGGAGAGGGGAGAGGACGACGGGAACAGTGCGGCCGGACTAGAAATTACCATTTACCGTACCGCCTGGCAGACCACGTGGCGCAGCTACTGCGATAATAAAATTTTAATGACGTTTTAGACCAAAATGTCCCACAGAATTTCGATTACTTAGGATGGTCCGATTTCGATTCTGTAAAAATATACGAGTACTGCGACTCTATTACTACGTCACGTTAGAAACGGGTTTTTGCTTTTTTTAGGTGAAAAATTGTATTCTAATATTGAAATTGATTTTTAATTCAATTTTTTTAATCACACAGTTACTACTGAATTTTTTTAATTAAAGTCGATTTCCAACAAAATTCAGATTTTTTACGACCAAAATGGCTTTTACTCATAGAAAACAACAATGTATATATGTCAAAAATATCCCTCTGAAACTTTCCAGGATAGTATTTTTACAAATTAACCTTAAAGTAAATTGACATGGTCGAATTTATTACAACCACTAAAATCTTTAATAAAATAATATTTAAAACCCTTAACCATAAAAAATTATATACTCTCCGCGTATACGACGTATTTCGGCAACAATGTTGTCATCTTCAGTGCTGAACACATGTGTATCATTGGTAGGTACCTAACCTATATTTATAAACTCATTAGGTACCTACTTTTAATTTTCAATCTCCTTGGAACGACCGACAATAAGTTAAGTTTACCTTTTACTATTATTTATTATTTTTTATTATACGCCGCCGGCGGTCGCAGCATATACCCAACCGCCACCTTGTTATACTATATTATTATAATATTATAATGTATTTTACCTGAAAATCAAAAAAGAGAACAGGCCTTTTAAGATTTTAAAGATCTCTGTAAAATAAAAAATATTACAAGTAAAATCACACATTGAAACATTATTCGATAGACGTTTTTTTTTTACAGCGGTAGACCGTTCACGACTTGTGTAATTAACGTTTTTATTGATAACCAGACAAAAACGTGTGTGTGTGTGAAAGACAAAATTTATCGTCAGCCGTATGGTATCATTAGGACGTCTTGTTCGAATTTTTTTTTTTTCAAAAACACACGAGCACTACACGTGCGCAAACCTCAAGGCATGATTAAAATATTATTATTATTTTCTCAAATACATACAATAATAATAACGTGTAATAATCGTCTAATTGTGTAAAAAGTATGTTGGCTGTTCTCTCGCTTGCTCTTTTCGGATTCTAAAAGAGATAACAAAAAAAATCTACTAATTCTCCGTGTTGAGAACGTTGTTGGTGAACACTTCACAAAATGTAATCAAATTTCAGCTGTCGTGACATCTGCGCCATTTTTACACAGAGGCATTACATTACAACTGCAAACGTAATTCCCGTGATTCTTAAGAGAATAATGATTTACAAAGGTGTGTTTTCATTTCTGTTTTACCGCGGATTTTAAATTTGGGAATCAATCGAAATTCGAGTAAATTATTACAAATACTGCTCCCCATTTTCTTAGTATTTTTATTTGTGTTGTCGGTTCGCGTTTTACTGGTTTTACCGGAACTCACTTGCCCGAGTCAACAACTCGTTTTGGAATATTTTCCATTACAGAATCGAAAAATTTACATTATTGCGCATATCGTACACACATTACGATATTATCTACGTTTTATTAACATAATAATATCGAAAAATCCGAGAAATTTCGATATATTATAATTTTAAAAAAACAGCAGTAGACAAAATGCGAGGACAGAATATTTCGAGGTCTGGGCAGACCGACCAACTATTAAACAAAGCGCTTTGGGACGATCACATTTTTAATTTAAATTATTTACTACAGAAGAGAATTGTAATAATATGCCGCCATGACGCGTTTTGAAAATATCCTTGAGTTATTAAAAAATACACGGGCGTTTAGACAAATCTATTAGAGCATAATATGTTTAAAATTATGAAAAATGTTTCTGAAATCTGAACAGACGTTGATAACATACCACTTCTAGGCCGAGCACTCTAACAAGTTAAAGTTTATTTTATTACAAGTGTCGACTACATTTTAAAAATAAAACCCTCCTCCCAACTAAAAAAAAAACACCCAAAATTAGTCCTCGCCGAGTTATGCAAAATTTAATCATAGTTTAACGAAAACCCCATTTGATTTTAGAGTATAACAAAAAGACTAATATGTATCTCAAATTTTAATTTTCAACACTATTCGTCTTACAAATTATAAAAAATGTTTATGTGGTTTTCGTACAACAAGTGGCCGCCAGTTGATGTTTTCGTAGTACAACGATATTAACTTTAAACATTTTAAACAATTTTTCAAAAAACAAGGACTAAACATTGTTAAAAAAACAGATATATTTTATACAATACTTACAAAAATTATTAGTAGACAAAAAAAATCCAAACGGGTTACGGTAACCATAATCAGTTTATACTTGAAAATTATTGGCATTAAATTACAAGCCGGTTAAAATGAATAATATGTTGATAATTCCAAAGCTATTTAAATTTTACAACTAAAATAAGCAGTTTTTTTAACTCGCAGACAAGTTTTTAGGGTTTAATACATAAAACCCATAATTTTAACGGGTTGGCTTGGAGTTTTTTTTTTACCAACGCTTGGCCACTTTTTGGATGAAACCAAAAATTGATTTTTTATTTTTTAAAGAGATTTTTATAAAAAAAAAAGTCAATGGGAATCGTTTTTGAGTTAGTCATCCTGAGAACAAAATTTTGTTTCAAAAGGCATAATAAGAGTAAACATTTTTTTTTTTATTAAATTGTTTTAAATCGCTTGAGCTATTATAATTTATCATGTTAATAACAACACTGATATATGTTCACACACAATACGGTCGACTGATATTATAGAATGAGATTTTTAATTTAAAAAAAAAAAAATTTGAATATATAACGTATATATTGTAATATATAACGTATATATTGTAATATATAACGTATATATTGTAATATAACGTATATATTGTAATATATAACGTATATATTGTAATATCGTTTGGCAGTCGAATCTGTTGCGTGCAACAAAACCAATTTTAACCTTGTGTTCGATAAAAAAAATGGAAAAAAAAGAAGCGCACGACAAATGTATAACATCAGTAATAATGTATAAAATTAATATATAGCGGTATTGTAACGTCAGTTGACGCGAAAAATAAATACTAGATAATAGAACAGCGAAAGTCGATAATAATATTATGTTCACTTTTTTCCTTCTTTCTATGCAAGCCTGTAGATCAAATATCTCATCTGAATAATGACATAAATTAGGCAAGACTTTTAAAAAAAAACTTTTTTTTTTATTAAGTAAACCTACTCCCTTACCCAAAAAATGAAAAAATTATAAGAGTGAATATCAACAGACGATCAACCCTAATCGTATCCGAACTAATACTCAAAATATAATTATTTTAAGCACAACAAATTGACACGTTATTAACTTTTGACGTCCTATGACAGATTTACCGTTTGGATCACATACGTTTGGAATATAATATTAAAAACATTTTTTTTTTACATTTAAACTATACATAGGAAGAAAACGTGGCATCAGGTTCGGAGAACACACGTGAGCGTTTCTCGATTATTGATAAATGTAGAATTAAATCAAGGTAAAATGTGCTCACGCAGCGGATATAGTCGGCAAACACACGAGAGATATGTATTTCTTAAGGTTAAGTTCCTTCCGTCTTAGGCAAAGTAATCTTTGACCAAGACCATACAAACGGTTATATTAGTGGTTTTCCAGTGGCTGAGTAATTACACTAGATCGAGTCGAAATTTTGGGACATCTTATACTTAATTCGTAAATAATTTGTAAAACTTGTTAATTATTAATGGATTTTCTTATTTTACGATACAACACGTTTAATTATTTTTCGTTAATAATTAGTACAATTGATAAAATGTATACAAAACGTAAATTGCGAGTAAGAATAGTTGGAATAATGTATTTTCTATGATTTAGAAAATACTCGATATAAATAATATATTTAAAAAGACGGGATTTTGAACTAGGAAAACAAAAATGTCACCTTTGAATTGGATTATTTCAAATACGAAACAATTTTTTTTATATATATACTTTAATCGAAACGAAACACGTAATATTACAATGTTAACTAAATTTAAAACGAGCAAATACACCAAAAAATGTATTTAGAAATGTAAAAACTACAGTCATCGGCCATGAAGGCTACCTAAATGTATATACATATATGAACATAGTGTGCATATTATAACCTCCGACCTGGTTACAAATACAATATCTATTAGACGGAGATAAAACAAAATAAAAAACTTATTAACCCAGCACAGAACAAAGTCGCAAATACTAATAATAAATAATTAATGTACTAATATCAAAAATATTGCATAGGAATAAAATGATTTACATAATACGGCATTGAGATTAGATAAGAAAAATATGTAGAACGAAAAGAAATTAGCCACACGAGTAAAGTATCAAATTTAAAAAAAATCAGTGTCAACAATTTTTTTATACAGTCGATAAACGCAGTGAATAATAAAAAAAAAATGAAAAGATTAACACTGCTAATGTCAAAATGGAAAATGCAAGAGCATGCTTTTTTTTAAACCGGATTTTACACAAGTGTGCTTTATACTTATATAAATATTTTCAACAATTACTACGACAATTATTCCATTATTATCACCGTACTACAATGTCGCGGTTGAAAAATGTGAAATAAATTTATATACATATATAAAGGCAGTGTAAAATATTTTAACCGTTAGTCGTTAAAAAAATTTGTCAAGCAAAATCATGCAAATAAAAAAAAAGTAGCGTGTATATGCGCAATATCGAGTTTTGTGAACATAGACAATTATTATTATAACAGACGCAAAAAAAAAACG